TTTTTTAATGAAAATAAAGGACACTTACAATGAGGAGGGAGTTGCCTCACAATGCTTATTTGTCACCACGTCCAATTCACCAAGTAAATCCAAAAAAAAAAAGAATTATTAAATTCAAATTTGTTGGTTGGTCTCTTTTGAATATTGCGCTTGGGTATTTTTCTTTTTTCAATTCAATAACAATAACAAAAAGACTTCTTATTCTTTGAAGATTCACAAATAAACTAGATCGCGTTGTATTGTCCAAACACGGCAAGACGCAATATCGTGTTGTGTATACAATATACATGGAAAAATTGCGATGACATCACACATATCGTGTGTATGGATATTTACCAGTTTCGCAATGATCACACGCTATTTGAATGATTTTTTCAAGGTTATGCCTCGTCATACCCAAATTCTAACTAAATAATCATTCATCATACTTCGTCTGACTTATAATACGCGTCAATTGCAGCAAATATTTGCATCGGTTTTAAAATTAACCCGAACCCATATAGGTATTGTACTTTTTACATTCATATTTAACTCATGTTTAACTTAAGAATCATTCAAACTATCTTTATGATTTGCCATTTTCCAAAAATGGTCAAAGCAGTAAATATAATTCGATCGTCCAAAAAATGCGACGAAAGATGCAAATTGATTACGATTTTTCAGATATCCAATGTCAGAAGATAACGTCCACGATGATTCGTCATAGCATTGCTAAACATCGACGAAAAATGACGAAAGGGCTTGCATGTGTTTAGACGAAGGAATCAAAATAAATGCCATCCAACGCATAAGGATCGGTTTGTTTAAGAAGCGTTTTGTGTAAATTTCGATGTGGCTTCAAAAATGTGAAACACATGAAGCGCAAAGCCAAAAGACGATTACAAATGAAGGGAATTGTTTATGTTTACTGCGCTTGAATTACTACATCCGGCTATAGAAAGAACTCTCTGAAAACACATTTCAGAGCCGAAATTACATTTGAAAGAAGAAAAAAAAACACAACAACATAAAGAAGATTGTATGAGAAAGGCGACAACGATATTTTATTTATTTATGATATGCATACAATCTGCCTACGTTTTGTCTCTCTTCTATTTGGATTGCTTATTTTAGGTTAAAAAAGGACATAAATATGTCAGTTTGTTCTTAAGTCAGTACTGGAATCAGTTTCACAATTCTAAAAGATCAGTCAAACCATAGGCCGTGGAACATTCATTCAACAAAACTGAAAATCAAGATACTAGATCTTTTTTTTATTTCATTAAAATTCGTAGAATTCGAAAGAAGAAGGAATAACAAAAAATATATATATACACAGTTCGTAGTACCATTTACTCAATGAGTGTGTTGTTCATTTTTCATGAATGTCATATTGCGTTCGGTCGGCGATAGAGGTAAACAAAGAGAAGTGTAAAAGAAGAATAACAACGAACACTAGAAAAACTTGGAAAATTGATGATAAAAAGCCCATAAAACATGTTAACAACAAAAAACGATTTTCAGATAGGACGAAAAATCTGTTGTCAGTGACAACATACACATTCACATATAAATACCGACAAAAATGGTAATATCTGCAACTAGCCCGACCAAAAAATAAAAAATAAAATAAACAACAACAACAACAAAAAAAACTACTCAAGTGATAGGAGCGTGTGATTGAGTTTTCGAATGTGTTACCGAACGCTTTAGTAATTGCCACTTCTCTTTGAATTTTCTTGCATTCCCTTCTCTGAATACACATGCACACAACAAAATCATTAATGAAACCATTGACAAAGCGCTTAAATGCGAATATACTTGTCAAGCAAATCAAATGACCTTTAGAAAAATGCAAAAAATTTCAATATTTTCCGCTTGATTGTCGTACGACCAGTAGCTTTTATCGGACGGCAACAAAATACAGAATGCAGTATGAACGCAATAACAGCACAAGTGACGACGAACAAAAAATGCATTGAATTTAGAAGCACATATAACAAATAGCTTTCGGTGTCATAAGAACGTACACGGGATACCATAATTTGTGGCGCAGCAGCTAATCAACATTGATCGGTCGGTGTGCATGTGCCAATGTGTGTGTGTGTGTGTGTGTGCGTGTATTTGTTTGTCTGGGGCTCAACCGTCCAATCAGAATGGATTGCTCTGTTTGCAATTCACCATTCAATTATCTACCTTTTCATGTATTGGATCGTTGCACGTTTACATAATCTTTGCTGAACTAAAAATGATTTTGACTCTAGCTTCTATTTTGCGTATTTTTTTCAATTGCGTTCGATTGCTCACTTTTACATCAATTGCATTTCTATCATTTACAGTTTGTATACTCCGCATAGAATTCTTATAATTTTACCCATTGATTTAATAGCTGATTGTTCTGTTGCTATGATTAGAAAATTGAGATTTTGCACAAAGTGAGAGAATAATAATAAATTGTAATATGGCTTGGTATTATCGATCAAAATGCGAACAAAAAATTGCCGAATGGAATTTTCACTTCTCATTCTCGAAATGACGTCCAATCATTTTAAATTGAAAAACCCAATCAGACGCCGTTCTTAGCTCTTCAAGCGCAATCGATCGATAACAAGACACACACATAGAGAGCCGCTTAGTTTGCACTTGTGGCTTTTTATTCAAATTCCAAAATAATTGCATGTTTCACTTGCAACGTTCGCCAAACGTATTTAAATTCTATTGCTGTCGTTACATTAGCCATAGTTGGTGTTGTTTGGCTGTTGCTGTTGCTATTGGTGTTGCCTATTAAATTTTTCAAGCAATTATATTCAATTTTGTAATTTGAACATTTATTTATAAACCATTTAAACGGCATACACACTTACACAGATGCCACATACTCAATGCCGCTAAAGAATTGACAAAACGTTCTGTTCTGTTGTTCTGATTTTCCGGCGCTGTTGTTTTTCACATTTTCATTCATAGTGAAAAGATCTGATTTGGGCTTTTTTTTCTACGTTTTTCTTTGTTTCACAGGAAATGCGTGAATGTATTTAGGATTGTGTCGTTATGAATGAAAAAATTCTACAAAAAAGCCTAAAAAGTAAAAAATGGAATGGGTGGAAGAAAAATCAAGCATATCGTTCGGTTCCACATTGAAAAAAAAAAACGAGGAAAAAGAAGAAGCCAAACAATTATGTGTACAGTGTACAGATTTCGGCTGTTTTATGAATGTGAGTCATAAAAAATGTATAAAACGGGTAAATAATTGTAGTGTATGCTTTGAAAATCGGGTCGGTTTATGTCAATGAAACAAGAAATCGTAATTTTAATCAAATACACAATCATCCGTACATTTCAAGTAGTTCGTCATCCTTTGAACCGTTTTTTTTTCTATTCATAAAAAAAATGTGAGAAAAAATCTGGGTTATTTTCATTGATTGAATTTTCCGCTTGTGAATTTGTTATTCATTTCTTTTGAGCAACAGCGGTAATTTGATGCCACGGGCCAAACACATCACAGAATGGCGCAGTAACTTTTAATTAGTCGCAACTATACATGCTTTCACATGTGAAATAAATACATTGAAGCTACACTCTGGAAATCGAAATGGTAGCGGGCAATAATAATAACAATGACAGCATCGTATTGTATGGTTTTTAATACAATGTATGCACCATTTAAAATCGGATGGCATATGAGCGCATTTTTGAAATGGGTTTTTGGAAATGCCATTAGAAATGTTAACGAAGTAACACCAAATATATATACGAAAATATTGCGGTGCGCGCGCGGCACACAACACAAGAACCATACCATATTATATTAGACGCATATAAATAATGTATATATATCGTTTCCTCGTTGCTTCTTTTTCTCTTTTTCGGTTTCATCGATGCATTACACATATTGTTTGCTCTTGCATCTTCTCTCTTTCGCTTGCGCCTCATGCGCCTTTGTTGCTGTTGTTCATTTTGAAAATATCGAAAATTTTACTGAATGACACGATGATGTAAGACCACATTTTTTTCTCTTTTTTTCAGAACTATTCTCAATTGACGTGTACAATGTACATATGTGTTCATGTGTATGTGCGTCGTATTTAGATTTAATGCCAGAAAAAGATTATCTCATTCATTCATTCATTCATATATTTTTTTCAAATAGGGATTTTTTTTCCTATTTTTTTTAATGGTTTTATGGAGCCAGTTCTTATTAAATGCTCTACTATTCATTGCATTTCATTTGTTTGGAATGTGCTATTTGAATTGAAAATCTGAAGCGTAACTGGAATAGATATGAAAAGAGAGAGAGAAACACTCGCAATATATATGTCAGAGCCAGTAGATGAACATTTTAAAAATTGTTTATATCATTTGATTAAAATGCCATTGTGGGGCCATTTTTCTCTCTTTAATTTAATTGCTTTTTTTGCTATTTTGACAAATTTCATTGAATTGTGGTTACGCTGAACTGGAACCAATTGGAATTAATTTCAAAAGAGTCAGTAATGCGTAATTCAATTTTATGCATTATTCGACGCCAAATAGATGTGCTGATGTTATCGCTAACTATGAGATCACCAATAATTATTATTCTAATGCAAATCGAAAAAAAAGAAAAAAAAAATTGTAGTGATTTACGTTTTTTTTTTTTTGCCAAAGTGGGCGGATTACTTTTCAAGTTTTGTTGTGCTATTGTTATTTTTTTAAATTATTGAATAAATTGCATGCTGCATGTTTGAATAGAATAGGGAGAGCAAGAGAGAGAGAAAAAGTGAAAAAATAAATAAAATAAATATATTCCATATTTGCTGTGCAAATCATCATCCGCTTGTTTCGCCTGTGTTAAATTGCATATAGTTGGGCCCACTTCAATCTTCTATAGAATATTGATTTGTTGCGGTTTTATTTTGGTTCGTTCGGGGACAAACATCGAAATTAGGGCGTTTAGAAATCTTTTATCTTTCAATACAAATTAAAAATTTATAGGATCAACATTTGCTATAGCATTGACTATAGTCTCTACTCATAAAACTTACCATTATTATTTACTTAGTGTCCATAAAATCGAAACATGTAAACAAACGGTAAAATGCACCACAAAATGAAACGAAAAAAAAAAATTGTTCGCTATTCGTGGATATAGAAATTGATTCGATTTCAAATGCTATTGCCTTCGTTTCGTCGTTTAATGTAAATAGTTGAATGTTATCAACACAACAGTTATCGAATAGTTTAATCTATACCGTAAACACAAATACATTCACAAAAACGACTAATAAATGGAGTAATGTTTTTACACAGTTTTGAATCGTAAAACATGAACAAGAGTCTATGTCAATAAAAGAAGGGAAAAAAATCGATAAAAAAGCACACAGCTAAACGAAAGAAAATTGTTCGACTTTTCTCCAATTACGTTTCAAATAATTCTTGAATGAAAAAAAAGTATATTGTCACTCAACGGTATTGATTGATTTATTATAATTGTTCTGATATCGATCGTCTCTCATTACTGAGTTCCAACTGTTTGTTTCTAGTTGATTAATTTTTTTTTGTTATTTTTATGGTGTCCCTTTTGCACTATCCTCTTCCGGGTTCGGTAATTTGAATCCTTCAACGATTTCTCGAAACCACTTGGTAATTATCACTCTATATTCTTTTTGTATCGTTCGATATACACATATGTATAATGTGCAGAAACAGTATATATGCTAAGAATAATATCTCGCACGTTAAAATTGTATTTCATGCAGATCACCACAAAATGTTCAAGTGAAAAATAAAAATAAACGAATTCATTCGTTCGTTCGGTTGCTTAGTTTTTCTAAAACGAAACCATATACGAACTCGATTAAAGCAGCACTGATGATGATGAAGCCTACGAATTGCGTTTTACTATAGCCGACAAAACAGCCAAAACAAACAAGCGCATACACAGTTTTGAAAAAGAAGCACGGGAGATTGGATGTGCCTGGTCTGCGTTCCATTCGGTGCATGTAGAGACGATGACGACAACACAACAACAATACCCAGCTGCCATTTGTGTAGAGATTTTGCGCTCGTATGTGTATTGTATTGATGTGTTTGTGTTATAACTCCAAATGAATTTTATACGCCGTTTGCTTTTTTTTTTCCCTAGCTTCTGCACCGCTTTTTTGTTCGCTCTTTCTTTCTTTTACTCATTATTTCTCTCGCTTCAGCTACCTCTCCCTCTCAGCACGATATTCACACCGTAACGAGTGAAATAGAGGCCCATCTAATGTAACCACTTTCCAATGCAATGGAAAAAATTACATGTGTCATGTGTTTGCGCACAAAATACAATTGCAATTCACGTGTATATACTAAAACGATTGAAGTTTCGAAGAAGAAAAAAGTGCACATAGCACCTTTTGGCCGGCTTTACGTTTTCTGACGATTTCGATCGAATCGAATCGACAGAACATGAGAAATGAATAGAATGAAAAATGCGATAGAACGAGAGAAAATGACAAAAATACTTGCCACTTTTCGTACCGTTAAATATCGATTACCAACCATCTTTCAAATAGACAAGAAAAAGAAAAACCAATCGAACATTCTCCAATCTAACGATCGCAATGCAAATTGCAATTCAATCCACTTCATTTACAACATTTTCATGGCGTGAAACTAGTGCTATCCAGTTGAATGTGTTAATAGAATTATAATGTTTTGCCTGCTAAGTAAACACACAAAAAGTTGATTGATGAAAGAAAGTTCTTTTAAGCACCGAAACTATTCACTTAGATGTTTTGACTATTTTACTTTTCCACACCAAAAGTATTGGTCTCGGCAAAAAAAATTAACATCCCTCGAAAAACTTGGATGTTATGGATTTTGATTCCTATTTGAATCATAATTTTTTTCAACCTCTGAGTTTACAAACTGAAATTTAACCTATGACTGAGTCGAATTATTAAGTGAACAAAATTATTTTCCACATCGCAATTAATTTAAAAGATACCTTAGTTTGTACGGGTGGAGGCAGGTTTGTCTTGGAACAACTTTTTGTGTTTTCTGTGCCTTTAAATCGACACATTCCGGGTAAAAATGGACTTAATGGATTCACCGTGGAAAAAAGTTCGTCTTTCTTTTGTAAGGTAGTTTTTAATTTGAAATTTGTTGTTGACTAAAAGTTTATTTTTAAAATTCTTCATCGGATCCCAAACACATGTGTGCTTTAAATTCATTCAAAATTCGGATGACTTCCTCTCTTTTTCATATTCCGAGAATAAATATAAACAGGCCACATGAAAACCCATCCAACATGCCTCCTTTGAGAATAGATGAGAACAGTTTCATTGATTTGAAATGAAATGAGCGCGATTTTATGCAAAAAAATGTACTTAATTGCGGCACACACACAAAGATATTTCTTGTTTCATTTCTAAACAATCGACTGCGATTTTGTATGCAACGTATTGTTCTCCAAATTCCAAGAACATGATGCAAAGCATCTTGTCATTAATAAGACATTTTATTGCGACCTATTTCGACCGATGTTATTTATCTAGCAATTTCTTCTTTTCATTGCATATGTACTCGTTTAATTGAGTACAATTAAATGATTCGTCTTCTTTGTCTAACCCATATTTGATTTCGTAACTGAACGAAACATAAATTCCACAATTACGTAACGAATTACTCTTCTATATATTCTTTTTTTGCAATAAATAGTTTAAACGTCAAACACATGGAATTTTTCTTATCGCAAATACGTGCACACTATAAAAACATCAATAGATCGGCACTTCGTTCTTTTTACATTCTCCAATTTTAAAACTTAGAGCGCAATCACTTAATTATATAAAACTATGGACGGCTTTGTTTTAGAGTGGAAACCGATTCTTCGGTATTTTATGAAAAACATGTGACGTTTTTTTCTCTCGATAAAACGATATTTTGGAGGACCACATTTTTTAAATATCCACAGTTGCATATGCATTTTGAGTCATCTGTAGTTTGACGTATAACTCAGTCATCTGTAGTTTGAGAACTTTTTAATTCATGACAATCAATGAGAAATAAGCCATGGAAAATCAACATTTTATTCGAGAATGTGACAAAAAATTACATGCTTCTAAGTTTTCACAATTTGAAATCCGTAACAGTATTTCGAGATGCTAGTTTATGAGAAAAGAACTATTTTTTTAAATCCAGAATATCTGATTAAACTTCGTTCTTCAAATATCTAGAAGTTTCATTTCTGAACTATATGAATTACCGATTTTCAGTATTGGCGGTGCATGCCAAGCATTTGAGCATGCAAAGTTTATGTTTAAACCTATTTTTAAACCAATATTAATTTAAAAAAAAGAAAACCGTGGAATTTTGTTTCACTTTAATAATTGCCAGTTTGCAATTGAATATTTTCTATAAATAAAAACGTTCTGGTTATTGCATCAAACGTTTATTTGCAAAATCATCAAAGAATTTGTTATAAAAGATAATTATGTGTTCAATTATTGATTTTGTAAATTGAGAGTTTATTTTGGAGAAAAAAGAAACTCCTCGGGAAATTATAAATCATTTTGTTTTGATAATTGTCTTAATTGTATGTTTGAATGTTTTGGTATTATTTGCATCGCTGTCACGACTGTTTACTGCGATTCAAGAATTTTAAAATAAATAAAAAAATTACTGACGAATCTTTTATTTCATCATACGAATATCGAATCATACATTTCATTCGATTTTTGTGTTCTCAACATTTCAGTTGCATTTACATATAAAACTGATTTTAAAAACGATATGGACATATTTTTGTGTGGTTTCTTTAATTATTATTGTCCACAGTGCAAATTTGGACTGCGTAAATCTACAGAACCAACGGGTCGAAATGTGTTTTGCCCCAGATGTCAGGGCAAAATGTCCGAATGTAATAAATTAGTTCCACTTTATTTTATCACATTATTTTAATTTTCTTTTTTCACATCCAGTGAGACCGAACCCATCATTGCACTGATGTTAAAAAACTCGCAAAATATTCACTTACATGAACCAGTTTCAAAACATTTCGCAAAATTTCAATTGTTCTTCTGATTTCTCATGTTAACATCGATTTCCACTTTTCCATGTAAAATTGTTTTGATTTTTTTCCAAGTGGGAATTTTCTTATATTTAAAGATCGTGAGAATAAAGGTGTGAAACTGATCCACAGACCAAATAATTAATATGTTAACTTTATTTATTTTAATAGCAAAATTATAAACGAATATTATTTGAACAATAATACACAACGATCTGAATTAAAAACTTTCAAAAGAAGAAGAAAAATTCAATAGAAAAAAGGTAATGGAAGAAAACGATATTCTTGCATAAAATAACTGTAAATTAGATACAGTTAAGTTACATTTAGTTGTGTGAAATATTTAAAAAAACCGTAATCAATAAATGATTCGAGAAATTTGGATTCAATGGAAGAAAATAGCTATACAGATCAAGTTTGAATGAAAAAGGCGCATCCATTTCAATTATTCCGTTCCCAATCATTATTATTTGTCCTCAAAAAATTATTTGCCCTCGGTTGTTGGGTCTGGACTACACATTACGCAATCTTATATAGATTGAACTAATGCACAGTTAGTCTACATCACATTGCATTTGATGTAGGTGAAAAGTAAACAAGATTTCGTTTGGAAAATTTGATTTGTATGTAACCCTCTTTTATCGCAAGAACAGATAACCTTTTAAAAATAATAATTTCATGATTTTTTATTTTTGTTTTTGAAAATTGGAAGTTTTTAATATTTTTTTATTATTAGTTAGTTTGGAGACATGCACTTAAATTCTTAATGTAAGTTCTAAGGATAAGGCTAAACTAAGCATTGAAACAGATAAGAGAAATTGACAAGTCTCTTGAAAATGATTCGACGTAAGAGAAACAACCAAAATATCAAATCTGATAGATTTCATTCCAAAATTTTATTACAAAACTTTCAATCTTCTACAATGCTCCAAATATAGAAATTAAACAAAAAAAGGATCTTTATACAAATACCGATTTCTTCCATTTGCGATAGTTTACTTGGTTCAATGGTTTTCAATTTATATTCTATTTATATTCATATTAATCCATTTCAACATAGAGTGTTTTGGATGATTGGCGTTGTCGTATCGTTTTCGTTGTGTGATTCAATGATTCAAAATATTGGGGTCGACCAAAATCATCATCGCATCTATCTTTGACGTTTCAAATTTTCCACTCGTAAAATTTGGCATTTGCGTGGCACGAGATCATAGAGAAATTTTTTTTATTCATAGAACATATTTTACCTTAATTTTTAATTACAAGAGCATCATGAAGGAAAGACCATTCCAAAAAAAACTTACCATTCATCAATCGTGCATTTAACTTAAACGTGATATGACACATGATGAATTAGTTTTTTTGAAGTAAAGAAGAATTCTATATAAAGGACATGTCAGGTTAAATGGTGCTATTTTCAGTGATTTCCGAATTTTAAGAAAACTCATTTTGTTTTAATATTTGAAAACCAAATAAAAAAAATATCGAAACTAAACACAATTCAAGTGAAAAAATTCTGAAACACCCACTTGGAGTATAACCAAGTCAATGTTTCTTCGACCTTTTTATAAATTTTGATGTTTTCGTAACAATAATGAGAGGGTGTTTTTTTTTTCATCCGAAAATCAAAATAAATAAAACGATTCCACTCGAAAGGAAATACTAATAAATTTTCATGGACTTCTTGGAATCTCTAAAACAATCAATTTCAAAAAGTGCCCATAAAACTGAACAAAGTAAACTAAAGGGCAAACAAACGCACCGACTTGAATGAAAAAACGAGAATAAAGGAAACGAAGGCGCTGTCGATATATGTTTTTTTTTTCCTTTCTACCTCTATCTTCTACTATTGGTTAGCTGGCCATTTTCTTAAGAATACACAACATGAATATTGTGCACATTTTCACAGAACATATGTCTTTCACAACGTATTACACATGTCAGTCAGCTACAATTGCATTTGGCTGTTGCACGCAAACGAGGAGACTTTGGTAAATTGTTTGTACCACATACATCTATTACACCATCGAAAAAATTATTCGCGAACTAAATAATGCGAACAAAACGACGAATTCGAGCAAATCCAACCGAAAATCGAATAGTAAAAGGTATGGCTTCGATATTGCAAAAAGAGAGAAAGGAGCATCGAGCAGCTGTTGTTGAATTACGACAAATATTAAAAGAAGAAAGAGAACAAACCAACACTTTTTTAAAGGACATGAAGAGGATACTTGACCAAATGGAACCTGCATGGTTGACTGAATCGAACACATCCGCAAATAATAACCACGTGAGTTAATGAAACCATTTTGCTCTTTGGCGAATGAAAAATAAAATTGATTTTATTTTACAGATGCATCTAAACAACCATTGGATTATCACGACTTTGGTTCAGTATGATGGCGGTCGAGTTGTCACCTTTTTAAAGAGATCCTATAGATGGCTTATGGACCACATATTATCACCATAATATTTCAAAGGTGGTGATATCAGAGCGTCTCATATTGGAAGACTCAATATTTTTTTGTGTTAAAAATGCGAAATTTACTAATTTTATTCAAGCATATTAAATTAAGAAGAAAAAATGTAAATATTTGTATTTTATTTAAAGTAATTCACATAAAAAAACATAATTCATACATAATTAAGAAATTTCAATTTGAAGCGCCATATTCAAGTAGAGTAGAAAGACACACCCTTCACCGTTAAATTGCAGTTTCGGGATGATCTTCTTCTGGCCGCCTCAATTTTGTTCAATCAACGATCGTTTCATCCATGATGTATTTACAATATTCGATTCGGACAAATTTTAGGTCAGCTTGTGTGGAACAAATCGGCTTGTAAAGTTTCTTCTATAAAAAAAAACGATTAACGGTAGTTGGAGCAATCCCCAATGGACTTCAATATAGTAGTTTCATGTTATTTTTGATGAATTCACGCACTTTTTCAACGTTTATTTTGTTTTTGTTTGTCCACATCTTTCGTCATCATTAAGCGTTTCTCTACCCGATTCAAATCGTGTGTATCACTCGTGAACTCGAGCGCGGGATTTATAATCAAGGCCATATATACATGTTTTGATAAAATATTTACCAAGTTTAATACAAAACTCAATTGCACTTTGTTTGAAATTAATTTTGTAACCGATAGCGACAACATACAAACAAATGAGGCGCTTAACATGTTAATGTAATGTCAGTGAGAATCTATCCTTACTAGCACATTTTATATCACTATAGGTGATGCCATTGATAATAATTTCAATTTTAAAATGTCTTATTTTTTTATTGGTGGGTAGAAATTATAAAGATAACGGATTTCAAGTGAACGATAGCACAAAGGTCATTTCATTATGGTGATGATAATTGTCGTAAGTGTAATTATCTTTGAGACGATGTAACGATGGTTTTTGAACTTTATTCGTTTCATAGAAAGCTATGTAGCCCAAAAGGTGGCGCTTGGCACAAGTGCGAATGAAAAAAAAAACTAAAACATTATCTTATTTCCACGATAGGCTTTAAAGCTTATCACAGTCTCATTATGTTTTTCACAAAATGTTTCAATGAAGTTTCCAGAATATACGTTTTTTTTGCATAAATTATCCTTATGTTTAGTTTGAATTGTTTAATAGATGTCGATGAGTGAAAAACATAAAATCAAACAGAGTATATTCCTTCAAGGAGTATCAAACATTCGTGCTCTTCATACAGTGGAATCGTTTATACTATTGTTATTGTGCACAAAGGACTATTGTGCCTAAGTAATACCAACGCAGATAATAACATAATTTTTTGACAAATTCCCAATTATTTTATGAATGAAATCGAATAAAAAATTCTACGGCTTGAACTCACGACATTCGAATTCATAAAAAACGCAACATTTTCATCTATTTTCCGCGCAAAAAAATTGCGGAAGCTTTTCCCTTACGAACGTTGAAAATAGCGCTATTGTTTAAACTTTCTATCTGTCTACACAACACACATGCAAGTGTTCGCTACAGCCTGTGTATAAGTACAGTACTCATGGGTGTATACGCGATGAATGATGTGTGTAGAGAAACTCACACATTTGTTATTCACAGATGCTTCAGTCACAATATCGAACTCATTGAATTCGGACGTTGCTTCTCATTGTGGCTCAAACATCAACTTTAACATCCAAAAGAAGCCGTATGCAGCGTTTCACCAATTCCATCATTACCATCTGAGTAAGTGTGTTTTTTTTATTGTAATATTTTATCCAGAAAGTGAACTTTTTTTTCAAATGAACAAAAATATCGAAAAGAATAAAGAGTGAAATTTACTTAATTAAGTAAATAAATTTTCTTGAACATTTTCAATGTGCACGTGTCTGTGTGTTTCTATTGTACGTGCAGATGTATGTTCCATTCATAAATGTATTTGAAGCGGTCACATATGTCTGCCGCGATATATCACATATAGACATAAGCACGTACATGCGCACAACGTAATCATTTTTAAATGTCAAACTTTGTGTTGTTATTTAAAGCGCACATTTCAAAAAAAGACTAATAAAAATTTCGATTTCATTTTCATTTTTATAGAATGCAGCAGGAATGGAGCATTATCCGGTTTTAATAAAATGGTGGCAAAAATCATCAAAATCACCAAAAACAAAAAAAAAAAACCAGGAAAAAAATCCAAAAATAATGTCCACTCTCGAAGCCTGGATCATGGATCACGTTCTCGCGCGCACTTCGTCCTATTGAGCTCACACGAGCCAAGAACTCAAACCTTTACACCACCGGATCCATTAAGAATTTGCGACAAAATTGCATTTTGACATCTCAATCAAATTATGAATGAAATAACGCATTTGCATACATAGTATCTGTTGGTATAGAGGCCCGAGAATCTAAAGAAACGAAATGAAATTGTTTTTATTTGAGGATAAAATTCTCATTGATTTGCTGTAAATATCATATTTTGTAACAATATCTAATTTTCATATTGAAAACATTAAAATTTTATACTAAAAGGTTATCCAAAAATGTGTCTTTAATTGTAAATAATGACTGCATTCATGATGCCCTACAATCGAGTATTTTCATTTAGTAAGTACGAAAACAAATTGACATATGACAGCATAAATGCGGAAACAACACCGATCTCGTACTTCTTAAGCAACTCAGTAGATGTCTCTGAGTATAACATTGCAAAAAATATGAAATTAAACGAAATGAATTACTTCAAGAATTTTTAAAATCGTCAAAATAGTATCAAAAACTGTATCGAAAGTACAGAAAATGCGAATAAGTTTATTCGCGTTAATATTTAATAGGGTTCCACACACTTTAACTCTTGGATATTTGTGTGTTGAGCTTTAAGACTACTGAAGCTTGGCTACAGTCTCATTTTGTTTTTCAATCAAATGAATTTGGCGTCATGTCAATGTTCTACTACATTTTTTCTTTTAATTTTCGAAACAAAAAAATGCAATAATTTTTCTATTTCATTATGATGATAAATTATTCTGGTTTAATGTTCAATTGAATCGAATAAATTTTGATAAATTGAGCGCCAAAAGTGGTGGCAGATGAAAACAATAATATCGCCATCGATTTGTGATGACAGGCGCAATATGACAGTTCAGTTCCGTCAAAGAGTAGCGTTGATAACATTTTTATTTGGTTTACCATTTGTTTTTGTTTTGATTTTCATTTTAGAATTAAATTTGATAATGAAATCGTGTTAGATTACAATGATTGAAAAAAATGCATAAATTCGCCATCGTGCGATACATTTAATATCGGACGCATAAAGGCATACAGGCAGCATTTAATGTTATTACATTGTAGTGGATTGTGCAGAAAACACCGAAGTTATTTGAGTGCGAACGAGAAAATAGGATACACATATATACATATATACATTTAGAGAATTCAACATGGAAATCATGAAATTTTGCTACTTATGTTTCGATCGAACAAAAGACGTTTATCCGGTCGTCGATGAGACGTTTATGCAAAAATTTATTAATTTCTCACCGGGAAATATTACTGTAAGCCCAATTTATATTCGATTCAGTATGATTCATTTGTATTGTTTTGACAATTTGCATGAATGGCAGTGCCAAATGATTGTTGTATTATTTTAATGCGCCATGGTGACCTGGTGAACCGGCTGCAAGCAATTATTTTCCAAACAATAAACGCATGCAAATGCCGCATCATGTCAACCAAATTACAACAAAAAAAATGCAATGCACATTTTCAAAACGAAAACAACATTTTGACGAATTATCAAATATATATATTGTTTACGTTTGATTTTCATTTTAATTTGCAGATAGGACGAACTACGTTATGCAAGGAGTGTTCACGGCGAATTCAATATTTTGATGATTTAAAGGAATTTGGTGCCCGATCATCAGCACTACGAAATAATTTAGCATACAATATTGTTCCTGAAAAAATTCAAATGCACCACAATGGCAAACCATCAAATCGAAAAAAATACATTCGACGCAAAATTCCATGCAAATGTATGCTTTGCCAAAAGGAGTTTCAATCAAAATGTTACTTACACAAGCACATGAAACGCCATCAAAATGTTAAAAGCGCCTACAAATGCATGATCTGCAACGGCGAATTCCTTTCGGCCAACAGTTTGTCGGCACACGAAAAAACTCATCCAACATACAAATGAAATACAATTGTGAAACGAGAGAGATAGACAGACAGATAGACAGAGAAAATGTTAAGTATTGCAGCAGTTGCAGCAGCAGCAGCCGTCGTCGATGCCGATGCCGCCACCGCAGCAAAAACAACAACAACACCACTCACATATACATAAACACACAGACAAAACACATACAAACCCCATCAAAAACACATTTCTACTGCTAATTTAATAATTTAGAACACGAAGGAACTCAAATAATCGCTTATGCAATTTCAAATTTAGGCAGTTGAATTTCGATTCATTTTTTAAAAAAATATTTATTCGATGTGTGTCCCAATTCATTTGTCATCATGTTATATTTTATATCAGCAGCATCGTGCGATCGAGTCGGGAGAGGTTATAGATAGTACAGGCTCGATTTCAAATTTATTCCATTTCATCCATACAACGAGCAGCAATAATATAACTATTTTCGTTTTCTTCGATGTTTTTTTCGTCTCTTTTTAGCATTTTTTTTCATGGACATCGCCAATAGAATGAAAGAATATGCCAAACTTTTGATGTTCAACTGTCGAACGGTGTTATAGTGAGTTATTATAAACGGTCATTTGATTTTGCTTTGAGAAGTTTTTTCTTTCTCAGTTTTCAACAAATTATTCGTCAAAAAAGAAAATTGAACGAAAGACATATTTTTTTTTTTTACAAAAAATAACAAAAGTTTGGTTCATTCTTTGAGTTACCGTTCATGAATGTAGCTAAGATAAAATCATTTGAAGCAATATCCGTGGATTTGATTAAAAAAGACCTTGTTGTATTTTATTTGACTGTCTCTATAATTTCATACTATATTTGATATTTAGTATCACATTTAAAATAAGCTCTTTCGTTTTGAAACTAAAAAAAATTAATAATATTTGCTTGTATTTTGTTAACACTTAATGTTATGATCGAAATTTGAGCTTCTTTTTGAATTGGTGATTTGATCGCGTATTTAATTGCTCGATCGTGGATGAAATGGAAATCCAAAACAAACAAAAAATCAAAAACATATTTACGATTGATTTTATCCATTTTCAATAAAAAAAAATAAAATATTTTTTTTGTCATTTATCTTTAAGAATGAACTTAAATAAATTTTATTATTTTATTCATTTTGCATAAAAATTGAAACATAGAAAAGTGAATCGTTGCAATACTGAATTTTCAATTTAAAATTGAAAATAAAATAAAAAAACACACAAGCTAACATTTGAAGCTGTAAACAAAATGAAGAGAATTTATTCTGTAGCATTGAATTGATCTATTAAACCACAAAATGGATCATGTTTTCTTTTTAAAAAAATTAACGTTTTTTTTCCCCAAAATTATTTGTTTTTTTTTTAATAAATGGACATCGGAAGAAAAGTTCTCTGACGAATTCCAATTGGTTCGATAATGTCTCACATTTTAATTGGTGATTATTTACAATTATTGTGCAAACATAGAATTTTAATGTGAATTTTGCTCGAATGCGGCACACGATGGCGTTACAGGTAGCGAAAAAAAAACGCATTGCAAATAAAAGTGCATTAGATCAACAGATAAGCGACATCAACCGAAGAATACAAAATTGAAAGAAAACCATACACAACAAAGAGCTCAAACTGCAAAAGTTTTTCGAAATTAAATAGAATCAAATACTAAAATGACCGTTCGAAATGTTTCAAAATACTTACAATTTAGGTACATCGATGATGGCTTAAAGCTGACCAATTGAAAGCTTTAGCTTGACAAGCGATTGAACAAAAATTCAGTAAAAAATATATTGATATGGAAATGTTGGCAATCTTAAAATTGGCAAATTGAAAAGATGCACAAATTTCAATTGAAATAAAACCATTGATTTCGTTGCGTGAGTTAGTTGTTTTGAAAAAGTTAAAGTACGTAATTTGGCGCTGAAGTTTGATATGGCTGTACTTAACGCTCAGTGACAGTATGCGTTTTTGTGTGGCATGACAGAAAATAAATATGGCGGTGAATTTCAGTGACCGCCCTAGACAGATAGACGAATCGAGTGTAATTCTAAAATTAAAATAAATTTTTAATCAAAATCAAAAGAAAGCGAGCAACGTTCACTCGAACCCGTACCAAATCGGGCCAAATGATTCAATTCGCATTTTCAACAAACGAGAAAAAACATTTACAACCATTTTGCTCACGGCAATTTTAGCAATTTTTGTTTAAAATAAATCTTTATTATTTCTGTATTTCAATCACTTTTTTTTAAAAAAGAAAATAAATAAATATATTGCTCTTCGCTGGCTGCATTAAGTTCGATTGTTTGTGTATGTGCTTTAACTTGTCATTTAATTTCTGTCGAGTGAATTTGGTGCGAATCTTCTCCACGGGCTAAAATTATGTTGTATAACTTAGAGGGAAGAAAAAACAACAGCATATAGAAAATCATACAGATGAGAGAAAAAAAGAGCCAATACGGCAACAAGAAAATACAGAAGTAGCAGCAGCAGTAGCAGTAGCAGCAACAACAACAACAGTAGAACTAACAACTGTAAAAACTTCTTATGCTATGTGCGCGTAGTAAATAGTTTCAGTGTAGAAAACGCACAGAAAGCAACGAAAACAACACACGAAAAAAAAGAAATCTATTTTATTTTCAAAATGAAATAGACATTGGGACAGAGAAACGTACGGACTAATTGCAACGGGCAACGAGCTGTGAGAATAAAAAACACACGAGCTAAATTGAACAAAAAGAAAAATTATTGTGTTTTTTAGAAAAAAAATAATACAACACTCATTGAAATTGAAACAAACAAGAGAGAGATACATACACACAAACCACAAATTGCATTATCTTTCCACTATTTTGATTGATATTCAAATTGGATCATTTGTTGTGTTTGATATGTGTTGCATTATGTGATCGCGTACATTTTATTAAATTTTTTTCTTTTACCCGGAGTGGATTTGGACAGTTGCATTGCAATTTTTAAACAAATTTTATGTTCTCTCACATGTGTGTGTGTATGTGCGTGTTGAATTGAAAAAAGCTACAGTGGCTGAACGAAAAAAAAAACAACAAAAGAGATTCATTGTTTTTATTCTCTATCTCGTCAGTTCGTCGATTGATGCATTTACAAAGGGATTTTAAACAGTAGAATCGAATGAAATTACAACGGATAAATGAATTGGTTCGGCATTATCAACGTAATAAATTTGCATTCAGGTTGAATAATCGCGCGCGCAGAAAAGAATAGTCGCCAGATTTCGATATCGCAACACATCGAGATAACAGGACGGCGACCGATAAAAGAATCACTGTGAAATAAATTCCTTTAGTTTTTTAATTTTTTTTTTTTAATATTTCGTTAGCCTTTCTTCGATTGTTATTTGTTGTTGTGTTGTGTTTTAGTTTTTTTATACAGTTTTATTTTAAATTTGTGTTTGTGCGTGCGTGCATTTTGTGTTACTGTGAAAACGAAACAGAAAAAAGTTTGAAAGAGAGAAAAAAAAATTGAAACAAAACCGAAAGAGAAAAGAAATTAAAATACAATGTCATTTGATGCGCGCAACAATTCGGCTGTATTGAAGCGGGCCGAGCAACTGAAACGATGGGAAGATTCCGACACAAATCGTGCATCGAACACACCAAAAGATCCAGCAACGCGAAAAGTCAAATTCTCATCAGGTTGCGTATTTTTAGCAGCCTGTTTATCGGGTGACAAAGAAGATATAGTACGATTAATCGAAAATGGTGTGGACATCGACACCGCTAACGTTGACGGATTGACAGCATTGCATCAAGTAAATGTTTTATGCAATTTCTTATTTCATCACCTTTTTTTCGCTCATTTATTTTCAATTGATGTGTAGACTCTTTTTTTGGGTTTTTTCTTCTATTTTCCGCGTAATTTTCACGATTTTACACCATAGAGTAATATCATTACTATATTATCTGTGCATAGTGTGACAATGAGATTTGAATCTGGTTTTATTCACATTGCAAAAATATTCTGTCCCTCGTCCACAAATACGCACCAAAATCATGTGCCGAAAACATAAACATTCACACAAAACATACAGATAGACAGATAGACAGACAGACAGACAGATAGATAGATAGATAGACAGAGGGAAAGATAGCCTAGCAAGTGTGAGGTGCTAATATAAAGAGCCTCCCAATGCAGAGCAGAGCAAAGCATTTTGTTGAAAATGTAACTCTAAAAATGTCGATTACAACCTTAGAAACACGCAAAAATACCGACACACAATAGTTGTATGACCATATAAGTTCACCGACAAATCCTAAATTACAACATGTGAATGAGAAAACCAAATCAATCCATATTTATCAATAATTTGATGGCAGATTAAAATGAAACGAACAACGAAAAAAGACAATGTGCAAATGCACACACAAAGCACGAGATACAGAGAGTCAACGAGAAAATGTAAACTACAAAACATATCGCGTTTATTTATTATTTAGTTATTTATATAGCAATAAAATAGTAATTTAATGGAGCATTTATTTGATATACTGTTTTGTTTCGTCGATTTATTGTTACCGTGTGTCGATCGATACATTTAATGAGAATCGACAATTACTTAGTTGACTTCGTTCTGCTCGGTGCACCGCATGTGCTGCCTTTGATGCACTGTTTTTTTTTGCTGTCTTTATTGTTGCTGGTTTTATATTTCTTTCTCTCATTCTCTATCTCTCTATCTCCTTCTTTCTCATATTTTTACGCGAATTAAAAAGAAAACAAAGAAAACTGACAATTATAATAACAATACGACTACCATATCAACAAACAATAATGATCGCAAATAATTACAGCTAAATTTTAATTTATTTTCCACTTCTTCAGTGTCATGTTTTGAAATCAGCGTTTGATTGATTTTGGAATGAGTTTTCCGTTTCGAGATTTATTAATGGCACACAAACATACAGTCCGTTATAGCGACAGCGAAACGTTTATAGATTTCATTATTTGACTGATTTTAGATTAATTGAATTGGTTAATAAATTGAAATCGGTAATTCGGAGTGCAGGGATCAATCAAAGATGATAAATTTTAAAATGTATTTGTATACATTTTATAGTTTTGAAGTCACTAAAATGTCAATTAGAATCTCAGCGAACGATCAAATGGAAAATGATGTGAAATTATTGGCGATTTTTGTTGCATGCATCGAGCCTTTGTACAATTCGTTTGTCGTTTGTACGTCTTTTTTTTTGTGCGATTTTAAAATCGTGTAGTTTTGTTATTATTTTCACATCTGCTGTGATGCCAAAATTGGCATGTGTATAGATGTGTTTTGCATGTAATACACGGTGATCGCGTCAATAAACGCCATGACATTAGATTTTGACATGTTGAATTGGTGCATAGCTTGATCTAAGCAGCCTTTTTAGCATGGACATTGAATTTGGCAAGCAAACAAACGAAGCATAACAAACAAAGCACTCGATTCTCATTCGCGGCTCAATTAAACCAAATGACACTTTAACAACATGTGAACTCATGTTATTGCGTGCGCATTTTCATTTTCAAATGTCAAACAAATGATTATGCCAAAACACTGTGCATATATGAATATGCATGTGCTGATTGTGACCAGCAGTCTCGTTAAAATATGAATTGAACAACAAAATACAATCAAATCATACATGCATACTGTTTATTGGCATTCTGAATAACGAATGCGATCAAGCAAATCAAACAAACGACTCCAATCAATGCAATTATAATTATATGATGGAGTGAACAGAAGAAGAAAAAAAAAACCATATCATATATGGGCAACGAGAAAAACAAGGAGAGAAACAGATAGCGATTTTTCATCCTTTCTTCGTTCCTTTGCAAAGAAAAACTAGTGAATGAAATTCACAAAAGATTGATAAACGATCGACCGCACTTTACCATTTTTACATATTTATGTGCAGGAGTCGTAAATTGTGGAATGGCAATTGCATTTCATTGGCGTCGACCAAGCCAATCAATTTTCGAATCGCATAACTCAAATTAAACAAAATAATAATAATAATAACAAACTGAGATTAAATGAGTGAATAGTTCAAAAAAGCACACATTTCTTTTTAGTTTTGGTGTGCAACGAATTCATTGTTGTTCGTTATGTGCTAATCTGTTATAATTTTTCCATGTGTCGACAACACTGCTGATCGAAAACAATCAAACGCAAAGATATAGACAGTTATATGGTTATTGTTATTGTTTCCTAGTGCAAATCGGTTACCAGTCAGAATATCGAACACACACACACGCTTATTTCGATGAATACGATTTTTCTTTTCCAAAGAAGCATCATTGATAACAAAACGACGTTTTCTTTTTTATTTCAATTTTGCAATTGGCGAGTGCGTATTGCATGACTCAATTCGGAAGATTTGATAAATCAGAAAAATGCAACTGTGCATTATAACACAGACAGGCCAGAGATATCTTCAAGTGTATTCAGTTGTTCAGCCGTTGTTACTTGAAATTCAACCATTCATGCGAATCTCTATAATTTTCTATTAACTTAATTTTTCTTTTCCTAATATGATTCCATTGCATTTGAAGTACATCTCTTTCTCTCTTTCTTTCGGTCTGTCTTTTGGTTTGGCTCGTTCATTTTTCATTTCTTTTTGCTTTTCTTTTTTATCGTGGTGCACACTCTGGATGGTGTGTGTGATCAGCATAATCATTACGGCATATAACAATCACTTGCATTATTCTATTTTTACTCGGATTTTATTGTGTGTTTCAACTTTCAGAGAGCACACACACAGAGACTCACAGACACACAGCGCTTATGCCAATGGTTTTGTGTGAAATGCGCAAAATTAATTATCATATGCAAAATCCATGATGTGTTTTCCATTCCAAAGCTAAATATTGTTGCTCATGAATATATCGTGTACTAATTATTTTGAAATCGACTAAAAACGCTTGATTATCGGCAGACACAGATTTCGATAATATTCATCGACATGAGCGCAAGCCAGTGAATTACCAATTACCATCGGACATAAAATTCCGAACCAAATACACAATATATACATGTAGTAAAATTCCATTAAAATTCTATTCACAACACTTTGTACGAAAAAAAAAAAAACAACAAAGCCAGCAACAACAACATGGATTTATTTTTACTAACTAGCAACAACAACAGCCAACAACAATAATAATAATAAAAAAATAGGCGAGCTATTTGCGCACCACACATTTTACTATCCTAACGGCACATTTCATGGATTTTAATATTTTGCACTCGCGATCCAATTTAGCGCGAAAAAAGTGCATTCGTTTCGGTCGTTAATCATGGAATTTTCGGTATCTTTTTAGATTATAATTTGACTTGTTGCAAGATGCAAGAGAAATGAAAAATGAAACAATGCGATTAATATTCTCGTCATAAAGTGAACAGTTCAATTGGGTCGGTCGTCAGTTCATTAAGAAATATTTATCTGGTAAAAACAAGATTAATTTTTTTTAAATACGCTCAAGAAGCGTTCAAGTTTTATTCAATAGAAAAACAAATGAGAACATTCATTGCGATTAAAATGGCACATTCGAACATACCAATTTTTTTTTTGGCGCAATTGGCATTTGATCATGACTTTGCCCCACTTCCTTGCTCTTACAATAACGATAAAAAAAAAACGTTATCGTAGCATGACAATGCTATTGTCGGTGTCATTTTCTCTCTCTCACAAATATAGTATATGCTGATTCGATTTACTGTTATTGTATATGTATATAACAAAAAAAAATTACAGGAAGTTTCACCAAACAATGATTGTACACAACGATAATAATTTTCCCATTTTTCGGTCGACGAAATACTCAGATCTCAGCACACCGAAATTATGCCCCATAAGAGACTGTATAAAATGCAAAACTATAGCACTGCTAGCGCCACTACGGACAATTATGGAGTTCTAGTTCGTTGGTTGCAACTGAGAAAATGTCTTTTCACTATTTGGCGGCAACTTAGTGTAGATTACATTGAATTCCGTCGTGGCGCTAGCAGTGTGACAGTTTGGGCATAATTTCGGTACGGATCTCAGTGAATAGTAAAAATAGATACTGAAAATAGTGAACAAAAGTTTGCTGTAGTTTATTTCTCTCTCTCTCTCACTTTCTACCAACCATACAAAAACCTGGCCATTTGAAAACTGTCCGATATTTGTACTTCATTTATTTGCATATGAATTGTGTACTTGATCAGAACAGCGAACAAAAATGGAATAGATTGAAGTGAATTCAGTTGAGCACAAGATTAAATATTGATTTTCATGTATGTTCATGCGCTCAAACCCAACTGTTCATCAAATTCCATTTATTTTTAAGCATATATTGGCATCTTAATCGATGCTACGCTTGAATAACATTCGGTTTTTTTTGTCGATTCGAGTACTTGAGCTACTGTGCAAATAGTTCGAAACTGGTGTACAACAATGCCAAAATAAGTGGTTCTAAGTAAAGATTTTCTCTAAAAGAAACCAAAATACACGAAGAATAACAACAGAACCTCAGCAAAAAAACCGCATTCATAATAATTTTGCGTCGCCTTCTAATTTATTTTCATATGAAAAAATAGACCAAATCCATATTGATCGTGTCTTTTAACCCTAGAACTGTGTTTGCGTGTTGCATCTAAGTTTTTTCGTTTTGCATAATGAGTGCCCATGAGGTATTTTGTATGCGCCAAATGTGATTGAAGGGTTAATGCACAGACCCAAACCCCCATTTAAAAGAATTGAAATATATGTGGATGTAATATTATCGCATACGGCAGATACTGAAGAAAAAGAAAATCGAAACGACATAACAACAACAACGAACGACAAAAATTAATAATTCAAACCAAAATGCAAACTGAAAGAGAAAAAAACGTCGAAAAATTGACAGTATATTCTTGCGATCGCTCATTGAGTTACGCATAGTATAGAGTGGCACGTAAGTAAGAGGCACTCTTCGAGGTTTTTCACAATATTGCGAAGCTGTACGACGATCGGTTCATTCTACTCGGTTGACGTGGTGAATTCGTGGCGTGTAAAATAATATAAGGCCGATATATATATATATATATGATCACCATCGCATCAAAAACAGCAGAAACTGAACGCAAAATGCGAGCAATGAAATAAAAGTGTAACAAAATCTTTCACTATGAACTATAAATAATATCGTCACAAACACGATCACACACAACAGTCGATCACCACAGCGACCAAGACTTAGATAGATTCAAAGAAAAAAAAAATCAGCGGATATATGCTTTTGCGAAACGAACGAACGAGAAAGAAGAACAAATTATAAGAGCAAAATCAAACACGCATTCAATGCAAAGTGTACGTAAGATCGATGAGAAAGATAAATACGCAAGACCTTCATTTTAGATCACTCAAATGAACAAATTTTTTTTCTCATCTTTGATGCTCGCGCTCTTTCTCTTTCTCTCGCGCTCGCCACAAACTAACGAAAACTCGGTACCCGTACTCTTTTGTGATAGATTTCAGTTCTCTTTTTTTTGTATTATAATTTTACTTGTCGAATTACGTGAGCACATTATCCGTCACACCGAAAATCGATGGAAATCTAAAAGAAAATCGAGAAAAGAATCCAAATTGAACGAAACAATCAAAAACATGATCTGGTTTTACGTTCCGATGTTTGCGGCTCATGAACAACGAAAAAAAACAGCAAATGAACAACAAAGCACAGAAATAATGTTCAATTAATTCGTCATATGAAAGGGAATACCTAAATGGAGCACATTAATGTGTACAAAGTGTTTATCATCTTCTGCGTATCAATTTATATATTTTTAGTCCACAAACGGCGTGTACATGTACATACCATTGTGCGGTTTCGAATAAATATATTTTTTTTGCTGTCTATTTCTCTCTCTCTATCTCTGCGATCTCTTTTGCTATCGGGCCTTTTCAATGCACACAAAAATGTTTTATTCATTTCAATTGATTGAAACTCAACAACCATTCGAAATAAGTGATTTCATTAGAATTTGTACTTGATCTCGAACTTTTCTGAACATTTCAAAACATGTATGTATTGGCTGTGGCCTGTTGATGAGATTGATTTTTTTTTTCAAGATTTTCTTCTCATTACCTTTACGGCGGCAATTCCAAAACAAAATATTCCGTTCTTCGGCTCATACCAAAATCAACGAAAAAAGAAAAAAATCATATTATATTTGTTTTCATTTTTTTTTCTATTTTTCTAGTGGTTATGGTCCCGTGATCACATCGACCAGAATAATCACTCGAAAATGAGCAATGGAAGCCAAAACTGAAAGCAATTCATAAAGAAAAATTGTCGGAAATATGCGAGAACATTTTTTTTTGTCTCTATGATTTGTTTGTTCATTCTCTCGACCGTGTGTATTCGTTTGCGTGTTTAGTGATCCATGAGGCTCAAAGACAATGTGCACATTTGGTTTCATGTGAAAAGTTTGATCACATAAAAAAAACACATACGAACATTTCATGATTGAACGTCTCGCCCCCGCATATCGGCACGTTTTCTTTGCCATTTTCTTCATCACTTTTAACAACATAACTTAGTTATTTTATCCTCGATATTTTGCTAGATTTTTTTGTTGTTGTTTCATTTCACTTAGTCCACTGTAGTTTACATTTGTTTCTGTCAATCGGAACCGCCGTTTTCATCGTACGATGATCCATACACGGAGAGATTCAAAAACACGCATATGGACAATACTAGGTCACTTTGTTTGCTATTTTGGCGCGATTTATGAATTTCAAGCGATTTTCATGTAGCTGATGCTGAACGCACCTTTTTGTTCTATCGCTATACTTACGATGCCGTATGGTCGACAAATATTAGCCCCAAAACTATATCGATACAGCAATTCGATTCGCATTGAGCTGAATTCTGGACAATGTTTTTCTCCTTTTTCGAAATCAAATCATCCTGCTTTGGAAAGCAATCAGAAGTTAGCTTTTATGAATGTTTTTCTTTCTTAAGCGATACACAGATAAACCAATGATTACATTTTATATTTACCATCGAGCAATCCAACATTTAAAATCACGACGAAAAACGTACGCTTTAAACGTACGATTTAAAGAAAAACTACCTCGTTACATTAATAGATCACCAATTTAGCAATATTCCCGGAAAGTGTAGCGAAAAAAAAATATTATTATGAATCCGCTTAGTTTCCGAGCATTTTATGATCGAGAGCACCATTCATTGAAAGCTTTGAGCGTTTACGAAAATTTAAAATGGAACAGAGCGAGAGAATGAGAGGGATGGAGAGAGAGAGAAAGAGAGACTGAAAAAGTGATCCCACGATAGGAGGATATTCGATGCGATTGAAATGTTGATGTTTCTTCGTGCGTAATTGCGTTCAGTATTTAATTTTTTATTATTTGTACATACAATGTATTCGCTATATGACTACTTCAAACGATGTGTATCGAATGATTTCCTCAACAAAATGCAGGACCCAAAAAACGCACATTTTTTTCTTCTGTGTTTTGATGTTTCTGCATTTAAATTTTCTGCATTTTAGTTACCGTATCAAACTAAAATTAAACGACTTTTCGGCGTACACGTGGCCATTTTTGAATAGATTCACTGTAAAAGTTCACACTGACGCCAACCACAACCGCAAGACGACATAAAAACAAAACCATCTAAAATTGAGCCAGCAACAATTCAAATTCTTGATCTGTGTAATGTTTGATTTTACAGCAGTTACAAAAGAATGGAGGAAAAACAGTCGAAAATCGCGTTAAGAAAATGTTCAAGCAAAAAATAAAAATGCCGCGCTCACATACCGTATAAAAGCACGCCGAAAAAACACGCCTCGATCCCAGTGGAACAGAAACATGATTTTTATTTTCTCCCATTTGGATTTCGGCTGAAGAATTAATCATATCGTATATACGATGATTTTTTTTTTCGTTTCGTGTGTATACATTAATCAACACGATTGCACAAGCAGATCTTTCTCTATTGCTCGATGCTCAAGCTCTCGATGAACATGCGAAATTGTTGATTGAAATCTTGTTGTGGCAAGCAGACAGAAAGACATACACAGATCATGGGCCAAATAGATTAATAATCGTTGATGAAAGCATTTATTTCATTTAAAATTTCAATTAATTTTACATGATGAGTAGCGTACCGTGTATGTAATAATATTGTATGCACTATGCATCACTGAAAATGACAAAGGAATCAAGAGCCACAAACTTATTTGACCTGTATGCGTGGATTGATGTTCATTTTAGTACATTTTACATGTCAAAGAAGCCATTCGGAATGAAAAAAAAACAACGCCAAACTGCAGTTTTGCATGATTATCAAAGGGAACAAGCCCATATATGCAGTCTGAACATCCAAAGTTCAATTATATTATGTGCATATCGCAACAACGAAACATTTTTGTATGAATAATCATCGTAACGACATTTAGTGACACATCTTTTGAATATAAGCGTTTGTTCACACTATTTCCCATTAAAAATGATTTCGCGCCTATATTTTCAACTTCAATGTGTATTTTTTTATTTTTCATCGACTTTTCGTTTCATTGCGAAATGTAAAATGAGCCAGTTATTCATCTTTCGAAACCTATTAGTTAGATTAAACGATAAAAATGATGTGTGTAGGCGTTTTTATTTCTTGAATTAACATCAATCAAGATATCTCTCTCTCTCTCTCTCTCTCTCTCTCTCTCTCTCTCGTTTAATTCGTGTTTGGTGGACAAATCATATTATTTCATTACATTTATTAGGATATTTGAATCAATTACTTGAACATAGCATAATTTGATGACAATTAGCACTTAGCATTTGTTGATTCAGTTATGGATGAAGTTTTTATAACGGATTATCTTTATATGTTTCTCTTCACTCTGAATAGGCATGCATTGACGACAATTTAGAAATGGTAGAATTTTTAGTGCAGCATGGAGCTGATGTAAATAAACAAGATAATGAAGGTTGGACTCCATTACACGCAACAGCATCTTGTGGGTAAGCATACAATCGGTTATACATTTTTCGCAGATCTGTATATGTTTATTTATTTTTTTCTAATCATTACTCTCCCTCTCTTTTTCTTCATTTCATTGTTCATTGAAATTTGAAATCGAAATAGATTTCTTAGCATAGCACAATATTTAATAGAGAATAATGCCGATTTAGCGGCTGTAAACAGTGATGGCGATTTGCCCATCGATTTGTCCGATTCGGATCGCATGCATGCATTGCTTGAAAAGCATTTGATTGAGCAGGGCATTGATTGTGATGAAGCACGCCAAAGTGAAGAGAAAATCATGCTACATGATGCTGAATGTTGGCTACGAAACGATGCATCTGAAGCGGATCGTCAACATCCTCGAACCGGTGCAACTGCATTGCATGTGGCAGCAGCAAAAGGATATAATAAAGTATTGGGCCTACTGTTGGCCACCCGTGCCGATGTTGATAAACAGGATAATGATGGATGGACACCATTACATGCGGCAGCACGTTGGGGCCAAAAAGAGGCTGCCCAAATGTTAGTCGCCGCACTTGCCGATATGGATATTAAAAATCATGCCGGCCAAACGCCGATCGATGTTGCCGATCCAAGTATCATTAAATTCCTTGAGGAACTTCAGAAGAACTATAAACGAACCGCAAAACGAAGACCTGCTAGCCAAATTCGCCTTAGTGATAATATTTATAATCATTTTAATTTAGAAACACCACAAAAAGTTATTTGCGTCGAAATGAAATCAGACACGAAAAATATCGATGGTGAGTTGGAAAATCTATATGAATTATCGACTCGAAATGGACAAGTGTTTCAGATTTATTGAACAATTTTTTGCAAAATTTTTAAAACAGACAAATGTTTTATTATGATTTACATGACGTACACATTTTAAATAGCGACTACGATGTCCATTTCAATTTGACCATGTCCAGTTCTATTTTCGGCATCATTTAATTTGCTTTTTACAAGTCGCTGCCGATTTTTGTTTGACGCTTCTCAATATGAATATGATCGAACACAAACCAAATCATTTTTCGATGTCGAACATCCAATTTGTTTTTGTGTTTTGATCCCGATAAATCATGCGCACAAATTTACGTCCATAATACCATTTGCTGTGAGATAAAATGAAGCATAGTTTATATTTAATTATTTTGTTGGTTTTCTTTATTTTTGCGATAATGCTTCAGAAGATATTCCAATCAAACCACCAAGTGAACCAGCACCAATAGCCAAAGAAAGTCAATTGATTGAAGATGAGGCACCATGGCGACGACCAACATCGATTCGCCTCAATCGATCAAATCAACATGAGAATCCACCAAAAATACGTAACTATCACACAAATCAACATTGTTGATCAGTAAAAGAGAAACAGACATAATAATGATAATAATTTTTCTTTTTTTTTTTTGCAGAAGTTCCTGAAAAAGAATCCCCAAATACATTGGATAGCGAAGTAATGCTTCGAAGAACCCAAAGCTTTGAAAATGATGAAAAGTAAGTGCGGCTCATGCATTAGTTGTAGTAGTAGTTGAAGTTTTTGTATTAGCTATCCTATTTTACGATGACACGATGACAATGGCGATGCAAATGATGATATTATTTGCCTATTAAAATCGTAGAAAACCATATTCTATAGCACAGTATGATCTATTTGATTGATTGCTTCAAATTTGATACCACAATTATTTTACATGAAATTCTATGCGTCTCTTTTTCTTTAAGTATTGAAAACCAATTTATTTTCCATTTTGTTTTGTTTACTTTTTTTTCACTGTTTTCTTTCCTTTTCTTTTGAATTCTCTACTTTTTTTTATTTGCTGGTGAACACAATCGATACTAAATACAGATCTATATAATCATATTCACTACTAAAGAGCACACCTTGTATCGACGTATTCCAATCATGTGTGCTTCCCCAGCTCCAATCAGAAATAATTGAATGTCCTTGTGCCCGCCAATTTATTTCCAAATTTCATGTTATGCCCTCATTTACATGCAATCCTTGCAAAACGCTCTCTATCGCTCTATTTTGATAAGGCCAAAAATTATAATCTACTTGTTTTTCCCATCAAAATTAATTAAAAAGAAAAACAACAACTAAACATTGTGTGCATGCTTAAACTACTTACTTGATCAATGTAATCATCAACAATGGTTCAAATCGATTAACATCCATTGGGATACGAAAAATTTAATAATCATTTACATCCTAATTTAGCTATATTTAAAACCACATTTTTATTTAATAATTATTTTAATTTAAATTCATTAATAATTATTATTTTTATTTTTCATTACTTTATTTTTTTTTTGTTGCATCATGTGTTTCTGATTTTATTTTCTAATTTTTTTTCTTTCATTTTTTTGCTCATTTGTTACGCTCTCGATATTTGATTGCGCTTGCACGTTCTGTTTTATCATTGTTCAACTCGATCAAAAACCGTAATCTCAACACATCTCAAAACAAACACATATAAAAAAAATTACGATGATACTGTACCACAATCAAATACAAAACAAAAAACAAAAACAAAATCCCAAAAGATTTTATCAAAAGTACTTAGAATTGCGTCGGCGGATAAATGCGCATTCTTATCCAGTTTCACCGGCTACATTAAATACTGGCATCATTGGTGTAAATTCTACTTACACGATTGCACCAACGACATCAACAACAACTACGACAAATAATTTTACAGTACAAAGATCGGCCTCACTTAAAGATTACAAACCATTAAGGTACGAAACTCACAATTTGGCAGACGATCCAATCACTTTGCCAAAATTATCATTACATTATTATTATTGTTTCTTTTTAATTGTTTCTTCTTCTTTTAATTAATTTTTTTACGTAATTTCTTTCGATTTTAAAATATTTATTTAGTACATGAAAACAAAATTTATACAAATCGGCTATGAATACAAAAAAAAAACAACAATCTTAATCAGTTTTAATCAATGGATTAGGTCTTCAAAATTGTCAATTAGGTTTTTTTTCTTTTATACTGATAACATTTATTTATCTCAATTGTACAGATTAATTTGTAGATTTTCAAAAAAAGGATTACATTTATGAGGTTTTAGACTTGAAAAAAAAAAAAAACAAAGGTTTGATAATTCGGTTTCACAGAAAAACACAATACTTCATTGGGATAATGCAAAAACAAAAACGTTCAGATATTTATATCGCGAACTACAATATGTAATTCTCCTGAAAATCCCGACTTTTTAATGTGCATGTTCCATTTACAGTTTTTTTTTTGCTCTCTTCAATATTTTTTTAATTAACTTTTTAATTATAATTATCCTTTAGTTTTCACGTTTTTGGCTCTGACATTTCTTAATTTTTTTTATAATCAGATATGACAAATCATTCGATGCATTTGAATTGAAATATTTTGCCTGCGCTTGTTTGGCTTCATTAACAATTAAACCGTTCACCTTTCGAAACGCAAAATGTGATAATCTGAAACTTTTGCTTCAATTCTAACGTTAATCTAATTTTAGTCTACCACATGAAATTAATTGGTTAATATTTATTTAAATCGGTTAGAAATGTTCTGTGATTGTTTAAGAGGCTAAAATATAAAATAGTCTAATGTATATAGATATCTTTTTCATTAAAATGAATTTAAAACGATAGATAAAAAACAACTTATTAGATCATTAATTTTAAAAATGCTTTGAAAGAATGTTGAATAATTTGCCGGGGTAAATGGGACTAACTAATGTTTTAATATTCCCTACAGGATAAACTCATTGCCTCCAACAGCCGTAGCATCGACTGCTACAAATAACACGCTCACCACTAACACGACAACAACGACCGCAACAACACCGGTCGCGCAACAACAAAGAAGGTATGTTCACTTAGTCTGCATTGTGTTGTCAAAAGAAATGTTTCATTTTCAGCCACCGATCATCATCCACACTGAAACCTGCTCGATAAATTATATTTATATCCCACAAAAAAAAAACATCGTCAATTTATTCATTCATTTATAAAATGCGAAGAAAAAAACCAAACAAAAGCAATCGTTGGTTTCGTCCATAAACAAAATATTTAGAAATGTTTACATTATTCATAATTTAAATGAGCTTTCTGTTAGCAATATCCTCTCAATCATATACATTTTATAATCATTTTGTTTGTACATGCACGATATGAGACACGCATGCATGTTCGCGCGACGAAAACACAAAGATTATTACAATAAATTCATATTGCATAACTAAACTGTGAACTGAGTAATGAATTTGTTTATTCTTCATTTCCCATTCCCAATGTATAGCTATGGTAAAATTGACGATAAAAATAGACCGAAATATGGTAGCGTGACCAATTTATCGGTTAATCCAGAAATTTCAAATAAAATTAGTCAAGCACGTTCGCTATTCGGTGGAAGTGCATTTTCATTAAATAAAGTAAACGACCGTCCATTGACACCATCACGACACGCATCTAGTGCCACCGATTTAACGAACGATAATGCCAACGATAAGCAAAATAGTTTGAATAAAAACTCAAACAAAAATTCGGATAAAACTTCACCAAAACCGGTGATCAAAACGCCAATCAAATTCACTGATGAACTTCAAGTCATTACGCAAAATAATGAACCGGCCAAAAAAAGCACATTCGGCCACATATTCAAAAATTTCTTCAAGTAATTACCAATTCGTACCATATCTCTTTTTTTTGTATTTAATACCGTTTCATTTGCGTTTTTGTTTTGGTTGTTTTTTTTTAAGTTCTCTTTTGATTTTGTGTGCCTGACTTTATTTTATCATATAATTTCGAAATCATTAAATTTTCCATTATTATTTTAGTTTTTTCGCGTGATCATTGTTTTTACTCTTTTGATTTTGAATTTAGATGCTACTACATGACTGATTGACATAATGATTGATTCAGTTGTACATTTTAATTGAGGCATTTATTTAACCGATGTTTTTTTTCATGCGTGTGATCAATAATATAGCTCGTTCACATTGCATTTTGTTTTCTCGGCTCCAGCGGCGAGATAATTTTAGCGCAACTAATTTTACCAATCGATTCGATTGGGTGACCAAACCAATCCAAATTTATTTTAGTCGTCAGATTTTCAGTTCAATTTTTGAATATGAGCCTAACCAAAATTACTTTCGTCGCTTTTTGTGAAACTAATTTTACACATTCATTTGAAACAAATGAACTTTGTTCAGTCTTGAGTGAAAAGAAGAGACAAAAAAAAAAGAAAAATAATGGGACAAATTTTAAAATGCAAGTCTGATCGCATGTCCAACACACAATAAATAAAATGATGACCTTACAAAATCATCCATCCAATAAAATTTCAAACTTGTCATATTTTTTACACTGTACTCATCCACCTCTAATTTCCCTAATCAACTCACCTCCTTTATCGTGCTTTCATTGATGAGTTTCCATTAAACAAACAAAAAAAAATTGCTTATTTTGCCAATTTGTGATATCGCACAAAAGTATTAATATTGTAAATTGGTTTTAATATAAAATGTTAATTTTTATTCAATTTTTTCTTCTTTCGTTCACGATTTTTATTCGTTTAGATCATTTGTACCGCCAGCCCGTGATGAGGAGAGCGAAACGCAACGTAAAGCCCATGCAAAACGAGTTCGTGAAACAAGACGTTCGACGCAAGGTGTTACATTAGAAGAGATCAAAAGTGCCGAAGAATTAGTTAAGAAAAAGAATTTGAACAATAATAACAATAGCAGTAGCAACAACAACAACAACAATAATAACAATGTAAGTACAACAGCTATTAGATAAAATAGTTCATACATTTCACTCAAACGAAAAAACAAAGACATACAATTACACACATAAATGAAACAAAAATAAAATATTTGTTTCATTTCAATTCGATTTCCGCCTTATTGAATTAAACAAAAAGGCCTCAATTTATTTCAATGAGCTACAAACCATATCAAATATATCATATCATATTGAAAGCGAAAAAAAAAACGTCATTTGTGTGTGTATCATTTGTTGTTGAATTCCCATATTAATGGGCATTTCATTAATTCATTTCATCATCAAAAAGCTCTCTGAAGCAATTTAAAACACAAAAAACACACACACACAAACATTTTTCACTCATTTCATCGAGTGATGACTAACTTCCGAGCGTGTGCCTTTGATTTTCGAACGCGTTTTAATTGTGTTTTTTTTTAATTATTCACACAAACTGACCGCATTGGATCTGCAAAAATTAGAATAGTTGACCGCAGTTGTGAACACGATGAATGTTTTTTTTATTCGTAGTGTTCTCTATCTTTCTTTTTCTCACACTCGCTCGTTCTTTCGACTGCATAATTTCGTTGGTTTTTTTGTTGATAATTTTTGTTGTTTTTTTTTTTTTTGAACAATTACTAATGAGATTTGAAACTAATAAAAAACCATAAAATGTGTACAGAATGGAAATGCAACGACACCAAGTGTGGCATCGAGTGAAACAGCGAGGAACGCTGCAATTAAAACAAATGATGATGATGAAAATGTAACGTCTGTGACATTAGTATTGCCGAATAGTCGAACATCATTAACGTCATCATCATCAACATCATCAACATCGACAACAACTTCAGTAACAATGAATGTGCCTGCTGTGATGTCTTCATCCCCATCATCAATAGCAAATAAAAAGACTGATTTGGATTCGCTTACAATGAAAGCGTCTCCAACAAAACAAAACATAGCTGATAGCAGCAATAAAATGATAACCAAAATATCAACGGATGTAATGCCATCGAATCAAATGCATAAAGATTGTATGTACGGTTTGGGCATTACGGATGACGATAAAAATGGTAAAGCAGCAATTCAAAAGCGATCATTGCTTGACATTGATAATGCAAGCTCGTTATCGTTAGCCGATAAATTACGCAACGAAGCCAATAAGTATTCCGATGAGAACGCTGGACGTGAGCATTTGGGAACAAACAAAGATGCCTTAAACCTAGCCGCAAACGAACAAACTGATAAAAAGACTGGATCACCAACGACACCCACATCGCCGACATCATTATATCAGCCAAACATTGTGGCCAGTTCAACAACTGCTGCTGCCGTCGCCACCACCACAACAAATAGTCACACGAATGAACGTCGACCATCGTGGCGACTCAAACTAGACGCTGGATGCAAGGTAACCATTTCACACAAACAAACACATACACACACACACAAAACATTCAATTTCAAAATGCAATGTATCTATCTCTTCGTGTATTTCGTTCTATTTCTTCTAATTCAACTGTAAGTGGCCAAACTAAATTTTCACCACTTGAAGATTTTGCTTCATAATTCCACGAAATTCAATTTAAAGAAAGACACGATATGCGATTTTTGAACTGAATGCAATGATTCTTTTTTTTCGAATTGATTCATTTTGCAATGTACAAACACGTAAATTTTGTATTAAAATAAACGATTTCATTGTCGAACACACAAATTTTTGCCAGTGCACTTTTAATATTGATTGCCATAGACGAAGAAGGGTCTATCGTTTTACGCTTTAGCTTTTAGATAGTTACATGGTTTAGATACCATGAACACCTTTTAGTTTCATTTTATTAACATAAACTATTTTGGCGGCACATTTGCTATGACCATGAATCATCACCAAAATTAATACTGCACATACACGCCAATATGCCAGTGCTTTTAATTAAATGCGAAAATCGCATGCCGAGTGACAAAAAAAAACAACATAACTAATGGACATCATTCCTAAAATCATTACCAAAAAAGTAGAAAAAAAAAACAATAGATTTCACTGTTTGAACGAAAAGAAAATAGAAATTCATTCATCATAATACTAATCAAAATCAAACATTATCCTAAAAAAAAAACAGTTCAAATTGGAAGATGCCACTCTACCAGCAAGCAGCACCAATTCAATTGACAATAACAATTTGATGACGGGACAACGACGAACAAGTAAGTATATGAATTTCCAAATCGTCATTTTTTTGTATAAATTTTATGAACCCAACTTAAATTACAACGGGAAAAGAAAATTATTCGGCGAGGAATTTTTATTTCCGCATTTTTCACACTCTTAATTGTAAACATTGTCATAGTTAAAATTAATTATTTTCCTTATAATAAATGGTTATGAATACAGAATGATATCAATTCCGAATGGGATTATATTGCAAAAGAAAATAAAACTAAAATAAAATACGAATTGAATATGAGCCAAATCCATTTCACAGGTATTTCTTCACTTTTCGGTGTGATGGTTTTTTCATCTTCTTCTCCTTCTTCGCTTATATGTAATTTCATTCATTAATTTAAATATCCATTTAGGATACCGTTATGTCTAGTGAATTTGGGTTAAAGTCTAAATTTATGAGAAGAAAGTGTAATTCTATTTTTATAAAAAAAAAACACAATGAAAAGTATTCTCAATTTGCGATAATGTGAGATATTAATTTCGTTTGTATGTTAACAATTTATTATGAATTTCAGATTTAACAACAACCAATACGGTATCGCGTCCATTATCTGCGCCAGTTGTGTCGTCATCGACCATTGCAGACAATTCAAATGACCGAAGCAAGGAACCTTCAATAATTAGCACCGATGTCACCATATCGCTAAAAAAGAACCGAAGTGGAGAGGATAAAGGTAGGCCTTTACTTTTAAATAAAACGACATTTTAATAGTGAAACCCTAAAAAAATGAGAGTGAATGATCAAAATTGTCGATTTAAATTACAGAAAATGAGAAAGAGAATGATAGTCGCGGTGGGCAAGCAACGCAAGCAATCATTCAACGAAGACGAAGACCAAAGAGACGTTCAACTGGTGTATGCAATGTTGGCACCGAGGTAAAACATCAATTTTCGTTGAATATTTTCGTATTTAATTTGAAAAATGTTATTTCACTTTATTTATTCGTTTTATTTTCTCTTCTAAATTTTATGTGGTCGCGTGAAAACAGGATGCCGATAACGAGCGACAAGACTCGCCTGTTGATGGTGATGAGGTAATTGAACTTATTTATAAATAAAATATTTTAATAATGAAATTGACGAGTCGAAACGTGAGACGAATATGTCATTGCTCGTGACCTCCGCGACCATTCGACAAGTGCACACGTTTCTTTTTCACTCTCTCTCTCCCCCTCTCGGTCTCTTTTATTTATGCATTGTGAATTGCAAGCACATGATGATTGTCACGATGTTATTGATACTTGTGTTTACATACACACACACACACACACACATACTCGACCGCATGCATGTCAAAATAATCAAACAATCTAAATTTAACATGTCATAATTATGTATGATTTAAAAATGCATTCGGTTGCATTACGACAAACAAAAATAGGCAATGAGAATTGAGAGAGAGAGAAATTGAATTGCAAACTGATAACGACATCGTGCATCTCGTCCTTATTGTATCTCGTATTATTGTAGTGTTGCATAAAGATGTCTTAATACATGAAATAAGAGTAGTATAGAATGTGTATTTCATTTTTAGTCCTGTCAATTGAATCACCGCGAAATGAGAACGGATCAGCCGTCGAATGTTGTCTAATTGCAATGCATAAAATTGAAAAGTCACAATTTCCGAAAGGAAAACGAAAGTGGCACACAACAATGATTTATTTTTGTCGAATGAAATCAAGGTTTCTTTCAACGATTGAAATGTAAAAGCCACATTTTTTGTGTGTTTTTCTTATGGCCAACTTTAACGGACGTGGCCGAAATGAATTACAAATCTAATTTGATTTGATGATTTTTTTTTGCTTCAATTTTATGACAATTTACTCTCTTTGCCTCTCTCTTTCTCTCCGTCTGTGGATCTTTTTTCTCGTTATCGGCTTTGCCATTGCAACCTATTTCGATTTCGATCTTGAACGGCATTGTACACACTTTTTCTATGAAAAAAATAATGCGCACAAATGTGGATTAAAATCACGAATTATAAATGTCATATGACGCATGAGAAAATACACACCGTTCATAAATGAGCGCGCACATGATTGGGCCCGCACTCAAAATTCGTTGTTGGCGACTTAGTTTTTTTTTTAATAATCTAATTACGATTTAAATGATATGACGTGCGAGCAACACATCATTTGCGCACTCATTTACAACAAAAAATCGATGAAAATCAAACCAGTTTACTTGCCATTGGAAAATATATCGAAAATTCACATGAAGTGTTAAATTCATCATGTTATTATATATAATTCACTCATAAAAATCAACAAACTGCATACTATATTTTTTTTATTTTCGGAAGCAAGCGCAAATTTGTTTACATTTGCCGTGTGTGTTTCGGCTATGTGCAAAGGTGATTCGAATGAAGTCTCTTTTTTCTCTTTTGGGTGGGATAAAGATCGCTCAAAAGTAGCTAGATCATGAAATGCGCCAAGGGCAAAATAGACAACGTTTTGCAAGAGAAATGAATAATATAATAAATAAAAATCGGTACATTAAATCGAAATGTTTTAGTTAAACATCAATTATATACTGTGTGCGCAACTGACCATATGGCCACTGGATGTGATTTGCGTTCGCGGCTATTTATAATTGAACATTTTCCAGTATAAACGCTTTTAATAAACAGAGCAACCGATTGACGTTTCATTTACTCTTTTTGCTTCACTTTATTTCTATTTTGCTACAGTTGGCTTCAAAATGAAACTAAAAAAAAACAGTTCAAAACATTAACAAATTATACAATGTTTGCAAAATCAACATTACGAGCCAATTCAACTAATGCGTGTCCAATTCACAGTACACGGTGAAACGAATCAATCAACACAATAATTATCTCTCTGACACTGTTTTCTTTCTATGCCGACAAATTAGTACACAACATCAAACATGCTTAACAACAGGCAAATCGAAACAGCAAAAAATGTCTAAAATGATGAAAATGAGCTCGTAAAGTACACATAATAAAATATGAGCCAGCAGACAAATTTTCTATGTGTTTTGTGAATGGCAACAGAGCAAAAGACAAGAGAAAAATAAAATGTCACGTGTATTTATTTCAGGTCGATTTGATCGGTGTCGTTTTGCATGGAACAAATAGAAATCCTTTGAAATAGATGACGCAAATCAGATCAGCGCCAATATGCGAACCACATGAATGTATTCATTTAATGACGACGGGCGTTGGTGTAATATTCATTGAGAGAGTTTTCAAGCTTTAGCATTTCGATTGTTCGCCATCGGCCGATGAGTAAAAAAGAATTCTGAAAAAAAAACAATGTTTCATCACTGTAATATAATCTATGATCAATGCGGCCATTGCGCTTGCGTTTTCACAATATATATAGATAGAGTGAGAGTGCCATAAGCATGAGTAAATGCGTATGCATGAAATAATTAATTGATTCGAACTCGCAACAATGCCAGAACACGATTGTGTGAAATTTAAACAAAATCGGGGTTTCGTTAGGTGTATTGCGATGTTGTGTTTTATTATTTCTTCTTCAGTTACACTGACAATGACTGCGATTATTCCATATGTTTGCCGGTGAATCTATATTTAAGATGATTTATTCAACGTACACACATTTTTGTTGCATATGATCGAAAGAAGAATGGTGGAGAATGATATGAAGATGGCGATGGAAGAGGGAGAGGGCGTTCGCACACGGTTTGATTGACATGACAACGACAACGTAATGTGCAAGAATACGCGGAAATAAATGAGGATGTGCTCTGACATTTTCGTGGCACGTATTCACGTACTATTCGGTGTCGAGTCCGAATTCGTGATGTGATGACCTGTATGCGCACGTAGCGCTATTTTATCGCATCATCGTATAAAAAGTCATAAAATTTTCACGTAGCATCAAAACGATCGGTGTGTAATGCGTTTGTCTGAAATGTTGTCGAAATTGGATTCATAAATCGTTTAGCTTGAAATCCGGATTTGAAACATGATTTTTTGCTGTTGTTACATTGACAACATTATTTATAATCGCAACGCTGTCATCATTTTATATGTGTTTACTCATCGATTCAACCGATTTATTTCGTTATGCCAAATTCATGAGAACGTGCAGCTCTCATTTCGTGTAACCACTTATTTGGTAACAAAATTATTAAACTATCTAATTTCAAGCTTGTATACTTATTGTCTTTATAAGGAATGTACTTGTCAAAACTGAGCGAGATGAAAAAAAAAACGGTGTATTACAGAGAGAGAAAAGAGAAACAAACAAAAAAAACCATCAAAATCAGCAAATCAATTAATTCACATTTTTCTTTCGTAAATTGATCCAAGCAGCGATGTAAATCCCTGAATAAATATAAAATTGCGTCGTGCAAATCGTGCTTGTTCAATTTGTAATTCATAATTGAGAAAATCCAATTTCGATGTGGTAAATATTTTATAGACCACAATTTGTATGAGAACAAAAAGGACTCTCGGACACGAAGCAAAACAAAAAATTCTACAAAGAAAATAGAAAACAAGTGAATTTTTTGTATTTTTATTTCAAGGAAAAAAAACAGCATTACAATGTCTGTTCACGCCAATTTGCTCGCTGTCGCTATTGTAATACAGCTCTTTCGTTCTCTCAATCTGTTGTACGTTCTGGTCCATGCGCAAGCAATTTTCTAATTGTTTTTTTTCTTTTTCTTTTTTGATTTTTAACAATGACCACCTGGCTTTCAAACTATTTATAGCAGCGAGAACACTTTGCTCGTGTATCTATTTGGTGTTGTTTTTACTCCTTTTATTCTTTTTGTGTTCTTTCTGCACGTTTTCTCTCTCTCTATCTCTCGTTTATTTTGAATCGACAATTAAAACCGAGAGAAATTGGTACGAAGTTACGACATATAGAGCACCGCACAAACGCGGTCTGTAGTTACAGCATGCTGTTCAAATCGTATGTACGCGAGAGATAGAATATCATAGTCATAGACAAAATCTATCATTATTTTTAGAAATGGTTTTTCTCGATCGTTTTTTTTCTCTTCGTTTGCCATTCTGTTCTTTCTATTTTCAAAAACTATTAGCCTGCCTGGTTAATTCGGTTACACTTTTATTTCATTCTTCTACAAGACGTTATGCGCTCATCATTTACGCGTTCTGAAATTAAAATATGAATATAGCTCAGCTTTTTATGTCGGTTGCACACACAGGTCGTGTTCGTATTTACACTGGCAAATGCACGCGCCCAATGCATAAAGCAAACGAAATAAAAAAAGAAAACAAATTTTGCCAATATAAACATCGAAAGCATCTATTTGCGCATTTTACAAAATGAAACAAACAATTAACCGAAAGTGTCTGAACGAACATGGGGCCCGTTGTGATTTTTCGTCGATTTTTCCATTAGTTCGTACAATTTATTTGATTCTCCTCTCCTACTCGTTGAGAAAGAGGCAAATTGTCGGACCGACCAAATGAGTTCAAAATTCCTTTCGAAAGAATTTCATAAAGAAAAGGTCGTCGTTCGGCCCATTGTTTTTTCCCCTCTGAATTCGATCAATCTTTCAATGCCATGATTGTTGAAAATCGTTCATGATTTTTTTCCACACATTTCTGCATCAAAAATTATAAAAACATCAACAACAAAAAATGCTCGATGCACAAAACATCATCGTCGCCAAAGCCATACATGAATCACACACACATCACGGAAAAACTATGATAAACAATAATCTAAATTTAGCTTTTATCATTTCGTGCGGCGGCTTTATGTTTTTCCCGTCTTATTTTGTTTTTATCGCTTTTTTGCCACACATGTACGGCAGTGAAGACCTTTGGTGTGATGCTTGCTTGTTTCGTTTGTGCTTTGTGCGCGCTCATCTCATCGTCGGACACATTGCCCGTTGTCTGTTGTTTTATTCATCGCCGCTTAAAAGATGTGCTTGCCTCTGCTCGCACTTATACAAACACCATAAGTCACTGACACACAAAGATCGTTTCCTTCCTTCTATGTAAATTTTTTTGTATATACAAATCGACATACCGGTATGATTTCAGTCGTTTTGCGTCTTTCGTTGCGCTTACACTGCTGTTTTTATTCATCTTAAGCTATACGATCTCACACCGTCGATTTGATGAGTTTTGTATTTTATTTCTTGTATACACAAACGGCTATTCGATCAATATAATTCGATCGTGTTGATCTTCTTTTGACACTGCGCAATTTAGAATCGATAAAAAAAAGATTTGAAAAATTACACATACACACACACAAAAGTGAAGTTGAAAATACCAAATCGTTGAATCATGTCATTTCGATCACGTTCACGAACCGTACAACCAGTGGTACAACGTCGATCATTGTCAGGATCACGATTGCCCAAGAATTTATCATCGTACACAAGCAATCGTCCGTTGAGCTCAGCATATCCATCATCAACATCGTATTCAACGTCGAATTATATTAGCCCATACACAAGTGTTACATCCCGTGACAGTATTTACAGTTCAATTCCATCATCATCGAGCACATCGCGTAATAGCTACTACAATGGTAGCAGCGGCTCAAGAAGGGATTCGTATAATAGTAGCACAATTTATAAAAATCCATACACATCCGATCGATATATAAGCCCATATGCATCATATGATAATGGTGTAACGACCGCTGGTCTAAGTATCAAATCGTCAACATATGGTACAAACGGTTATACCAATAAAAATTCATACACACCATCGTTAAATCGACATTCGGCCAAAATTTTGTCCGCATCGAATATAAGTCTAAGTTCGTATTCATCAATACCATCTACGGCAAACTCCGTGTCAAATACATCAATTGTACGAAGTCAATCGTTTCGCGATCAAACGTCGGAACGAAAAAGTCGTAGTAACTTAAGACGAAATAGCTCATTAAAATCAGAACGTTCTCTCAGTGTTTCGTCCGAAAAAAGTGAAGGCTACGAAGTATGGCATAATTGTGTTTTTGTTTTTATTTTGTTTTTGCTTACAATCAAATTAACTAGAATACAGTTACATTATTAATGGAATACGAATTGGTTTCGCCTCTTTTTCTATCTTCCGATTTTTAATTTAACAGAGTGGCAGCGAAAAGATCTCAGCAAGATCACGCCTTGGCTCGAGCAGTTCAATCACATACGAACAAAGTCCGGTTGCCGATAATTCAGAAAATGGTGGCGATGTAATCGATTACAAGGCATTGTATGAAGCAGCCAGGTAAGTTTCATTTTTGATAAAAAGCAATGATGCGTGATTTAAATGAATGTACTGTATGTCTAGACATTGAACAATTTGTTGTCATTAATCACTTTAGATCGGATAACGAGAAGCTTAAACTTCAAATGAAAAAGAAAGATGATGATCTGATGAATGCCAGAGCGGCAATTGATAGATTCACAAATGCAGTAAGTGATGAAGAATTTGCTATTTCCCCTCTTACAAGCCGTTTTATTCGTAAAATGCGTTGCATCATCATAAAAGTGATCGTAATCACGATGAGTGAAATAATTCATTTTTCTTTCGCACCAAAAAAAAAATTTAGACAACAAAGAATACATTATCCGAACTGGAAAAACGTGAGAAGCGTGCCATGGAACGCAAAATCTCTGAAATGGAGGAAGAGCTCAAGGTAAGTCAATCCCATCAAATAAGTTCATCAAACCATAATGTCCATTTTATACTGATTTGATCGATACTTGCGAATAGCAACGATCAATAGAAAGAACCACCGTCCCCCCATCCTTCCGAGAAAATAAAAACATCCCCTCAATGTTCGCATCTATTTTTATCACATCATATTCTCTATTTTTCTTTCTTCATTTTATTGTTAGTTTAGTTGTGCCATTTATGTTGATTATCTGTTTTCGTTTATAAAACACGAATTTCAAAGAAAGTTAAATTTGATAAAATAAAAAACACTCGCTCAAAATTAGCCGAAGAACCAATCACCACAAGATGCATCATTCACATCAAATATCAAATTATACACAGAGAGATCATTAAGTGTGCAGATTTTGTGACACAATTTGGGCTTTTGTTCAATTAATTACATTTACGTTTTCGTTTGTCCTTTCATTGTTCGAACAGAACTGTTGTTGTTTTTCTCGATTTATTTTCACATTTCATTTTTCGATCTCTCTCATTTCTCATAAAAAAACAAACAACCAAATCAGTAATAAAACAACTGCAAACATGTTTTTGTTTACAATGCATTGTTCCATGCTAAATAATATAAATACGGATATTCATTGAACATTATCCGATATATCCTTCAAAAAAAACTGAAACTGAATCTTTGACACGCTCTGATAAACATCACATTCACATTCGTGTTGGTTATGTTGGTGGTTTATGTTCTTGATTATTCATCACGTCTACATATTTCATCAGAAAACGTATCATTTTCCCGTTTATTTTCATACCCACGGTCGATTTTTATTGCATGATTCATGCGTTCAACAGGGCAGGAAAGAGGTAAAAGCTCGAATGTTGTTTTTCGCTTTTTCCGTTCTGTTATTGTTGCTGTTGATCAGTGAATTGGCAATAAGTATCGGTGCCAATAACTAACACACTTATATTCTATCATTCTCACCATTTTACATACACAAATTATATATACAAAAATCGTACGTAGATTACAACATTTACAGACTACACCAATTTTCACACATACTTTTTTTTGTCACTCTCTTTCAAGATCATTGTTTTTTTTCATATTGTAAATGCAAAAATTTGCCAAAATTTAACTAAATAAAATGTATTTTACACCTTTTATCACTCGTTCTGTAGCAACTACAAAAATTCAAATCCGAAAATGAGCGTCTACGTGCCGAGAATCGCGCTCTCACTCGTGTTGTTTCAAAGTTAACACTTTCTGCTCAAAATCAACTCCAAAATAAGAAATAAATGCACAAAATGATCGATATAAATCTCTAAAAAAACAACCAATTAAACGAATTACAATCAGACCGAGAAACAATCACCGAATCGAACAGATCTGAATGCAAATAAAATTTAGAGAAATAAATTATAGTGTTTTATATACTCCAAAACGAATGAAAAAAAATCAAATGCACAACGTTATACAGATCATCAAATTACAAAAAGGGTCGACAACATGTATATCACTGGCCAAAATCAAAATAAATGAAACAATAATAAATCTCAATCAAATCTCCACTAGAACGAATCTATATAAATCGCGAAAATATTTAACGAAATCATTTGAAAATAAATTTAAAAAGAAAAAAAAACATATATCAGACAACGCCATTCAGCCAAATCACACACTTACACACAATCGATAGAAAATATTGCTTCATTGATGGATGAATTTTGAACTCAATGTGTTAATACTTGAAAAACTTGCGGTAGGATGACTTATTATCGAATGTAATCACTGTTGAATGTAATCTTATATTGTGTGTTATAATGTTCTTTGGTTTTTTGTTTAATTCGAGCTATTTAAGAAAAAAAAATACAAATCAAGTTGGAACGGATACCCATATCTAAAAAAAATCTGTTGTTTTTCCTAAATGTTTAATCATTTCCGTTTACAAGTTTCGTTGGCTTTTCGCAAATGATTTAAATAATATAACCCGTGTGGTTTGGTTTACACATTTTTGTTTGTTATTGTTGTTGTTGTTGATTTTTCACATTTTCGATTGATTTTGACGAATTTTCTTTGGCACATAACTACGTAGAATGGCATACTTTGATATTTTTCTCCACTACCTTTACAGCGATGTTCGAAAATAATTCGAATAATTGTGTACGTTTTTATTTTATGTATTGTTTTTTTTTTTTTTTGAAAAATGCCTAACAAGCTTGACAGTGCCTTCGGATAATATTAATTTTTCTTTTCAATTTTAAATTTCGATTTGATTTTGCCGGTTTTATTATGTAAATAAATGCGATGTAATTTGTTCGGATTCATGTTTTTATGTATATTAAAGAAGTGTTGCAATCTAAATTAAAAGATGTCGTAAAATGTAAAAGTTAGTGTAATCATTTTTTTTTCGTATGATCATTATTATTTTTGTTATCATGATCAATCATTTTGAACATTCCTTTGTTGTGTGTCATTCACAATAGTGTTTTTGTTTAATGCGATAAAACAATCCATTGCTAAACTTTAATCGTTTCCATAATAGAAATTATTGTTTGTTTGTATAGCGTGACATCAACTGTTTTCATCAAAAAGTTGATAAATTTTTGTAAGAGATTGATTTTTTTTGTTTTTGGTTTCCGAATGCATGTGCGCACGCTTTACCATTAACATTGGCTTATCGAATTTGATAATTTTTTATTCAACGTTTATTTATCAGGCTAAATCTTGATATGATTTACATTCAATTTGGCATTTAAATGTGCATTGAGCTTTATGCCAAAGAAAAATACCCCATTTGTACATACTTTTTTTACTATTTAAAAGCAAATTGCTGAGTTTTTTTTTACTGGAATAACATTTTCTAAGACTAAAACAAATAATTTGCAATTTATACTAATCTATTGTTATTTTCTTCTCGCCCAATATCAGCAACTCGATGTGTTGAAAACGGAAAATCAGCGGCTGCGAGACGAGAATGGAGCATTAATCCGTGTTATTAGCAAATTAAGCAAATAAAATGGAACCGTATGTAATATCATCCTGATTTGAAAATGGAAGAAAATCTGACCTGTGTTCGCGGAACAAATGTCAAAATCATTCGAATAAAATTCGTCTCTTTGTCAAATTTAGAGTACATTCATTGCAATAATTATAAATACAAACAAGGCATAATCATTATCACCATCATCATCATCATCATCGACATCAGCATCATCATTTTAAAATTCAGCGACATCAACAAAAAAAAATTTAAAACAAAGCATAATAATTAGGAGACACGTATTCCACGTTCAAACGTTGATATTTATTTATGTTCATCGATTGAGTTTTATGCAACAAATATACATGAAACACACAAATAATAGTTCTTATGATTTTAATTTGCAGTCATCCAAGAGTCTATTTTAATTCCTATTAGAAGATTTTAGATGTTTTTGTACTGATTGATTGATTACCACAATATAATTCTCCAATTTGTACTATCTCTTTCTCTTTCGTGCGATAAACCAACAATTGAAACAAAAACAAATACTAATTGAAAACCAATTATGAACAAAACAATCGAAACGTATCCCGTACGTAGATCCCGATAAATTTAGATTTGGTTTAAAATATAAATCAATTCAAATATGAATTGAAAGATACCAAACGCGAGCGCATTTGTTTCTGTTTCAGTAAAATTATCGTTTAGCATGATTTTTTTTAAATACATTTTTATCGCAACAAAACCCATGTTGTTTTCGAATAGAATTTAATTTTTTAGGCAAGTGCATTGTGTGTCTCATTTCATTTGATACACTCTCCAATGTGCTCACTGATATGAGAGAAAACAAAATAATAATAATAATAATAATATTAATGAAGAGAGAAGGAAGAGAAAACATACAATCAAATGAAATAATTTTATGATATTTGTTATGAATTTACAATTTAGTTAGACAAATTTTTAAAACGAAGATTAGTGCGAACAAGAAAAAGAAGAAAAAAAAATACAAACACAATTATCACTTACAACAACAATCAGCTACAATTTAGCGATTAATATTTTTCTAATTCATTGCAAATGCAACAATATAATTTATTATTCAAAGAGAACAACAACAAAAAAAAAAAATGAATGGACGATTTTATTGTAAACGTCATGCGTCCCATTTCATTTCATAATTAAATTTCACAAAATCAAAACTTTTTTTACCTGATTGAGTGAAAAGCATACATAAAAAAGCAAACGAAGAAAGAAAAAATCACAAAAAATATTACTTTAAACGAAGGAGAAGAAAAATAATTACAAAAAAGGAGAAAATAAAATACAAACCAAAGCTGTTTTTCATTTGAAACAAACTAAATAAAAATTAGCCGAGTGAAATAATGTGACTATAATCGCGATAAATAAGTTTTTTTTTCACATTTTACATGCTCAACATATGATCATTTTGATATGAATTACAACACGACATACAGAAAAAAAATATTTAAAAACAAAATCAAAAATGAATGATGTCGAACGAATTTTTTTGTATTAGATAATTAAAACAAAACAACAACAAAGAAACGGATATTTACGAGAAAATACTTAAAAACAAAATATTCGTATATTAGTAAAAAAACGACCCAGAGGAAAAATCGATCAATTTTTTTTAAGTGGATCGAATTTTTGTCTCTTTGATTTCTCCTTTTAATTCTTCTTCTTTTCTTTAACACATTGTCCTTTTCATTCATTGTTATTTATATTTAAAAGAAACTGTTTTAATTTATAAGTGAGAAACTCATTTATTGGTAAGCGTATAAGAAGTCGATTTCAATGTGAAAACAAGCAAAAATTTGATTTTCAGCAAATGTCACTTCCGTCATTTTTAAAGGCAAAATGTCAAATTTACTAAACGATCATTAAATTTGGTACGATATTTGATTGCACTTTATTTATTTTGAAATGTTCATGGTGAGGTTGCAGCCATGATAATCAACATGTACGAATGAATTCAAGCTAAATTTTTTCTACATATTTCCGTAACTGAAAACGATATACGATTTGCTTATTTTCATTTAATGGAAATTGTTACCTTTTCCAAACAGAAGAACAATACAAAAAAAATGATTTTAAGTTTATTTTAAGTTCTATTGTATTCAAATGTGGCAGAAAGATCAGCAGTAGCAGTGAAGAAATATATTTCAGCATAGAAGTGAACAAAAAAAGTGTCTGTGTACTACAATTATATTTCAATTTAAAAAAAAAATTATTTGCTATGTACAAATCAAAAATATCCAAGTGTTTAATCATTTATTTACCTTTCAGAGAAGAAATTGAAAATGTAATCAATATGAATGTAAGTATCAATTTGGACAAATTAAAACTTTCTCCGTCGTTCGTGCGATTCTTTGAGATATAAGAATGTTTCTTCTCAATGTCTCTCATTTTTTCAATGTACATTGAACTAATTAAAATCAGAATAAATATTTCTTACCATGACCTATTGAATCCGATTTTCTTTTAATTATTTGATTTGAAAAAAAAAAGAGTACAAACATTTGGATGGATCATCAATTTGCGTCAACATATTTACTTTACATGTGAACACATGTTTCGTTGGTTGTTATTTGAGAACAAAGAGTAAAATTAATTAATTTCTATCACAGCGATATGAATATATAAATAATGAGGATGATTTATAAAAAGCTTCATTATCTTGGTTTATCTTATACCTTGCAGTTAGTTCATTGCATTCTTATCTAAAACGCAAAATTTATCCATTTATAAACTCATTTTATTCGGCGCTTTGCCATCAAAGTCATGCGCTTTCTATAAGCTACACAGCTTAGTTTATCGTTAAATATCACTGAATTTGTAAGTTAGTTGCTTTAAAAGTATTTCATATTGGAAATGAGTACAAAACTTATGGTAAGTTATGCTTAAAATAATAAATAAATAAAAGATGACGAAAACTGAAATCATATTTAGATTTCTGTAGCATTTTTGCTCATATCAATTGTCATCTCGGTGTCTACACAGTCAACAAGTTCAACAGAATCAACTGCTTCCACGGCATCGACAAGCTCAACAGCTAGCACGGAGACGACGAGCTCTACAGCTAGCACGGCATCGACAAGCTCAACAGCTAGCACGGAGACGACGAGCTCTACAGCTAGCACGACATCGACAAGCTCAACAGCTAGCACGGAGACGACGAGCTCTACAGCTAGCACGGCATCGACAAGCTCAACAGCTAGCACAGTAAGTATTCCGTGTTGATGTTTAAGGCTGATAAGTTTCTAAATTAATTAATTGATACAATTACTATTCAAGTAACTTATTTGATTTTATGTCAGTGATTTCGTTTATTATACGTTTATAAATAACATACACCAAATGAAGTTCACATACAAAGATCTTTTATGGTATTCTTAATTTTTGTCAGGCGTCAACGTCTTCTACTGCACCAACAGCGCCAACGGCCACCACAACACAAGAACCATCAAATTATTGTACACAGCTAAATGCCAGAGATAAAACGAGATATGCCGCGCCATGGACTTCAAATTGTATATGGTAACATCTTCAACAGCTTCTTAATTTGGTTAAATTTTTCTAATTTCCTACATATTTTTAGGTATGCTTATTGCTTCTATCGTTCAGGAACTCTAACAGGCTCATACTACAAATGTCCTGGAACCACATTATTCAATAATCAAACCGGCTATTGTCAAGCATCTTACACGTGTCCATCTGGTCAATAATTATTTATAAAAAAAATGTGAAAATAATGGGAATAAAAACAATTCAAGTAATAATGAAATTCTTTGTGATTGATTATTTTATTGTAAAGCCACACTTGAATATTCGCAATTCTTCTGAATACGTAATATTAACCCTAAAACCGTCCATCTGGCACTCAGTGCCCGAGCAAAATTTCAAACTAAAATTAAACCAATTTTTTCATCAAACATCAATAAACCCCGATTATTTTCGTGTTGTCGGCCTCTGTTCCCACTCAAAAATATATAATATGCATCTATTCACGCCATAGTTTTCGAAAAAATGGCCGGCAAAAAAAGATGGTTATTTCGTCTTTGGGGCACTCAGTGCCCGACGTATATTTTCATATATTTTGTATGGGAAAATTGCTGAATTGTAAAAAATGTTTGTGCACGAATGAATCGATTGTTCTCATATACAAACATATATACACTTGTTACGTTGTTCGGTGTTCCGTGTGACATTCAAATAAGAATAATAATTTATTATAAACAAATTCTGCCGAAATTGTGTTTTGCATTGAATTGCTTCGATTTACTTTTACATATACACAACAAACATATCTCGTGTTCAATTCATTTTTTTATTCATTTATATGTGAATTTCCATGCTCAGATAAATTTAACAGAGAAAACTTGAAGGCAAACAGTGTAAAATGCCATTTTATCATATTTTGTCAGCACAGTATACAAAACGTAGCTGCAGTTCTGCTGCGTACATTCATGTCTTTAGTTTACGATTAGACACAAGATTTCTCGAAATATCGAAAAGAAAATTAAAAAAAAAACAAAACTTTCAATTTTTTCATGCAAAACACACTACGGGCACTGACTGACGGGATTAAGGTGGATTGCAGAAGGACGGTTTAAGGGTTAAGGCCTTATTTGCTAAGCACACGATCGTAATCGTGGACGATTTCAATCGTCTACCGATTGTTATAAATCGTTCACGATCTTAATCGGCAAAGGGTTTTTCATAATCGGCGACCGATTTTTCACCGATTTCGAAAAAAATCGTCCACGATTACAATCGTTCGCGATCGTGTGTCTAGCAAATAAGGCCTTTAAATAGCACACGATGCTCAGTAAATAAGAAAAATGGGAAGTATAACAATCGTATTTAATATATAGTTTCAAAAAATGGCGCCAAGAAAAGACTTAACGAAAACAGCATTCGTGCTCCACAGAACAAAACCAACTTCATGGCATTTCTTGCCGTTGAGCACATATTGCAATAGTGATTGTGGCGGTAATTTTATTACTATCAAATTCACGCAATTTATTTTTCAATTTGTGTCCAATTCAAAAATACATATATTTATTTCAATAGAAATTAGCATTTCAATTTATGAATTTTGTGTAATCATTTTATAAATTTCAAATAAATGTATTTGAAAAAGTTACTTAGACACAATTCTAAATGATTTTTTCTATTAAAATTGTTATTTTTGGAATTTCCATCGTTCAAACGTATGAAAATCATAAATTAATGTGAAATTCTCCGATGTAAAATGTTTCGTTAAATGCATTGTTTATTGTATCGTTTGATGGTAGCGCACAATATGGACAACCCTGACAAGTGCTTGAAAAGCAAAATAAAAAAAAAAATTCAAAATGGACGTCCATGATACACACGAACAATATCTATTGCTTGCAAAATAAATAGAAATTTTTGGTATAGTGTTTGCATTTGGTGAATGAATTGTGTACGTTTGGTGCATTAATTGATGAACAATTATTTGGACAATAAAGACAATCGTCGATTGTGAATTAAGTGTGAAAAAAAAACTGTAAATTGTGTGTAACATTTAAAAAACGAAAATTTCCAATAAAAGTCCGCCAGTCTGTTTCATTGCAAATCAATTTAAGTGTATCTATGCTTCGTCCGTTTTTTGAATTTGTGTATTTTGTTTGAATAGTTCATTAGTTATATTATTGACCAACATTGATGCTGTTTTAATTTAAATCAGTCGATTCATATGCAATCGCTAAAACATTGACATTGTATGGAAGAAAATCGACCATAAACAAGAAAAAAAAGTTCTTTGAATCAAATCAAATCAAATAAAATAAGAAACGGCAGCAACGGCATCAACATCAAGCAGCAGCAGCAGCAGCAGCAGCAGCAGCAGCAGCAGCAGCACAGCGGCGGTGGTGTATGCTTGTGTGTATATATTTTATACAGATGTACAATAAATTGCTGTGCGTACACAAATGTGCTTGTGTGTATAAGTGTATGTGTGCAGTTGTGTGTGTTGAAGCAGCAAGCGAGAGCTAATCTCTCAGTGTAATAAAGAAAAGGAAGGAAAAAAAAACAACAACAACAATAACAAATTTCGAACACTTTATTTGCGTGTACGTGAGAATAACGACGAGGGAGTGCACTTCTTTCTAAATGGTTTGTACATACAATATACACGAGTTTATACACTGAGAATATTAATTTTGAATGGGATTTACGTACAAGTTGCTTTTGTGTTGATCCGGTAAAACTCAATCTCTCTCTCATTCTCCGTTTGTCGCGCGTTCGCTTATTGCCCTTAGAGTGTGTTTGTATGTGCGCGTGTTTTTTTATTTCGCTTCTTTTCTTTTATTTCCATTTTATTTACTGTTTGCTCGTTGAATAGAGTTTGGAGACATGTATCTATAGATGTATCTACAATACATCGCTTTGTGTGTGCTCCGCTAAATTACCTATTAGCGCTGCTTAATTCAGTGTGATTTTCATCGTTTTTTTCGGTTTGGCTCTTTTTTTTCCACTCTTCTCCATCTATTTTTCACATCTTTACGCCGTTGCTTGAGTAATTTTGCGCGAAAATAAACACTTCGTACGTAAATATTTGTGGAAAATTGTTGGTTCAATTGTTGTGATGTTTTTGGGCATGTGAATGTTGTTAATTTAAATTCATTACTCAAATTGACATAAATGTTTTAAAAAATCGAAAAATGAATGCCTATCGAATTTGTGGTTGAACGAAAGAGACAAAAACAACCGACAAAAATTTGTAGGTGCATTTTGGAGAGAGTGAACGTAAATTAAATAGAGACACACAGAGAGAATAGTAAAATTATTATTTTTTTCGAGTGTTTATGACGGGTATGTAAAAAAAAACAATATATTTATAGAAAAATGGTTACTATGATGTGCATTGATTTGTGAAATCGGTGTGGAGAAATGCGCTGTATTCCCTTGAATTGAAAGCCATTAATCAAATCAAACAAACCAATTGAGCTGAGAGTCTCGGTCCCTCTTTGATTTTCATGTTTGGCATTTATGAAGATGACAAGTTTTGATTCGTTCGTTTTCGTTGGTGATATCATATGGTGATGTGTGTGTGTGTATGTGACATAGAAAAAGAGCAAACGTGAGAAAGAGTCAGAACGAAACAAAATGCACGAGAAAGAAACCAAACGAAAATCTACACACTCATTTATTTTGCAGTATTCGAACGCATACACACAATCGAAAATTTAGCAATAGAAATGATACGGAGACGTAAGAAAGGGAAAAAACCAAAAGAAAGAGAAAGCGCATAGAGACTTAACAAATGAAATAAAAGACAGTGCACGCGAACACGATAAATTGTGTTGACATAAAACATAAGATTTTTGCTTCTCTTTTTTTATATTAGTAATACAAGCAGAAAAACCATATCTTCAATTTCGCTTTATTTTCTCCATTTTGTGTTTGACCAAAATCGTAAAAACCAAATCCGAATTGAATATATCGTAAAAACCAAAAATTGACAAATACGAAAGACCAATATAAAACAATAAACCATTAATTTAAGTGGATTTTCAACATAGTTCATAAATTAAATGCGCTTAATCGATGCATTTTGTTTCGAAAGTGCATTATAATTTTCACGAAGAACGAAACAAACGAATTAAAAAGCCAAAAAAAGCACAACGAAAGTAAAGAAGAGGAAAGTACGTGTGTGAAAGAAGAAGAGAATAACGACCGACCAAACTGTAATGAATTATACAACAAAAAATGAAATTGAGTTGATGGATCGCGCACGTTAAATTATGTGATAGATAATTATTTATTGTTTTATTCATCGCGCGATTTATGATTATCATAGATAAGAAATTATTGAATAGTATAAATTTTGGTTTATATTCACAGATTTATTGTGACAGAAAGTGAGCGAAACATCTGTAAACACGGATAACCTACGTGCTTTGGACTAATGGCAGCCAACCCTCCAGTTGAAATAGGAGTAGGTCCCGACCAACAGGTTAGCTCACCACACACATATATATATATCGACAAAATATCTTTTATTCAATGCTATGCACAATATATTCTATCCAATAAAAATGAACAAAATCGAACTCTCTGCAATGCTGATTTCCCTTGCATTCACACTTCACACACAGATGATTGGACCTCATGAAAACGATGTGCATTTCATTTGATTCTATAGCATTTGTTGTTCATTTGCAATATTGTATACATAACCTCAAAGCGAATTCAGCATTTATTTTGTTTTTCGTTGTTGTTGTTTTGAATCGTTGATGCAACACAATTTCTTCAACATTCACACACTGTGTATTCTCACAGGCTGTTCTTCCCGATTATACGCCAATCCAAAATTATGGAGATGCCGGTGATCGAGAATTAGAAGAAACACGATGGAGTCCCGGAATTGTACTCGACACAGATTTATTAATGTACTTACGAGCTGCACGTTCAATGGCTGCATTTCAAGGTTTATGTGATGGTGGTTCACCAGAAGACGGTTGCTTAGCTGCAAGCAGAGACGATACAACAATTAATGCACTAGATGTGTTGCATGATTCAAGATATGATCCAGGTAAATTTGTTTATTTAAGTAAGTTGGTGTTTAATAAAGTAAGTGTTAATTCAAATGTATTTTATTTTTTTACTATCGATATTTAATGGAAATTTGAATGGAACTGCGTGTGCATTTATAATTACTTCAAACGACAAATTACGCAAATATCCAGGCAAAGCACTCCAAGCACTTGTTAAATGCCCTGTACCAAAAGGAATCGACAAGAAATGGACTGAAGACGAAACAAAGAAATTTATTAAAGGATTACGACAGTTCGGAAAGAATTTCTTCCGAATTCATACAGACTTATTACCGCACAAAGAAACTGTAAGTTCTTTGCTCTCTCTCTCTCTCTCTCTCATTCTAACTGCAATCTCCTTATTTATCTTGCTCTATCGCTTTTACTATGTCATCAATATTTATATATAAATTGATAAAATGTCGATTGCTCATCAATTCTGTTTCGAATTTTGCACATTGAATATACAGCCGGAATTGGTGGAATTCTACTATTTGTGGAAAAAGACACCGGGAGCAAATAATAATCGACCACATCGCCGACGAAGGATCGGCTCATTACGTCGTATACGAGTTACAAGAAACAGCAGCAACACGCCGCCAAACAAGAAAGAAGAAACTCCAGAGCCAACGGCCACGGAGGATAATAGCTCACTGACAGAAGACGATGCCAGTGAATGCGATAGCGATTCAAGTATAACCAATAAACGTATGTATTTTAAATTTAACGCATATCTCGTTGAAATAGTATTTTTCTATATCAAAAAAAAAATTGTTTGCGATAGGATCAAACACAGCAAATAGTGAATTGACCGGAGACGAATCGCCATCCAGGATGAGAACGCGAAACAAACCAGCAAAAGAATCAAATAACAAACGGCCAAAGCGTGGCGGTGATACGCCAGATGCTAGTGCTACAAATGAAAATGCAAAAACACCAAATAAAACCGATCGACGCAAGTCGTCAAAGGAAACGCCTACAAAGGGAAAGAAACGTACAAATATCGACCTCGATGCGGATAACGATGGTTCGGACGAGAAAGAAAAGAGAAAACGAACTGAGGTATGTTTTTTTTAAATTATGTGATACTATAATTTTTTTTTTTAAATGAATTCAAATTGAAAAAGAAAAGAAAATTTTAATAATCAACGATTTAATTTTCAGAGTCCAACCGAAAGTTTGAATTCGGACAGTCGACCTGGTTCGGTGCTGGATGAACAAGAGAATACCAGCGATCCACCAGACACTCCGATGGCAGATGCTGAACGAAAAGATACAGACACAAAAGTGACTGAACCAACATCAACTGACGAATCCAGCACGAATGTTACACCAAAGGAGGAAAAACCAAGCACCACTTTGCCAAGCAGCATTGATAAATTGGAACCAAATACCGATAGCAAAGAGAAAGACACATCGAACGAGAAGCCACGAACAATTTCGAGTGAAGACTCAAGTAGTAATTCGGTCGATGAGAAGAGCGATGCAACGGCAATATCGAACATTAGCCCAATTGCGAAAGGAAATGAATCGCCGGCACCGGTTTCCAAAGCGACAAACAGTAGTACAGCTACACCAACAGTCACAAATACAATTACCAGCACTAGCTCAACTGTAACATCATCGATATCAACATCGACCATTACAAGTTCAGCTGTTGCATCAGCCGTTGTTGATCTCAAGCCAATCGAAAAGATTGAAAATGCACCAGATGCTTCATTCACGCCAAAGAATGAACAAGAAATGATTTCAACCATTGCAAACATCAAAAAAGAATCAAATGCACCGCCGGCAATGGTGGAAAATAGCAATGAATACGCTGGCAAAAAGATGACCGCACTGGTCATTAAAAAGGAACCCGGCCAAGATGAATCGAACGAAAATAGCAGCAATAGTAGTACAGCTGTTGATCGAAAAGATACAAATGCCGAAGCAGCCAACGAAATTAAAATGGCAAATGAAATCAAAACGGAAAGTAAATGTGGCTTGGATTTAACCGATACAAATAGCAAACATGAGGATGCATCTAGATCAGCCTTTGAGCCACATATCAAATTCAATGCAGCTAATAAAATGCCACCGATTGAAGGGCCACATATTAAATTCAATTCAGACATGATCAAACCAACGGAACCAATTAAATTTGGACAAGAATCACCGCTCGCTGTTAAATATCCACCATCAATGGCCGCCGATCTTAGTCAAAAATATGACACAAAATTGTTCAGCGATCAATCGAATAATAAATTCAATGAAAATGAAACAAAAGACAAAACAGCAAATGCTGAAGGTAAATAGACATATTTTAAAATGCCATGAAAACCATCTTATTGACATTTATTCTGTTTTTTTTTTCTTTCTCATAGCTATTAATCCGGCAGTTAAATATCCAATTCCAAATGATCAAATCAAGAATGAAAATGTGGAAAATGTATCATTCAAACGACTACCATACACCGAACCGTATCAACATATGCGTTCTCCATACGAACCGTCGATGCTTAAATATCCACCGGGCGTACCGGGCGCACCAATAATGCCGCCATCACTTCCGCAAGATTTGAAATATACACCACCAGCAATCGATATGAAGTATAAACCACCAGAAAATCTATCGAAAACACAATTTTCGGCCGATAACTTGGTGAAAGGGTATGAAGGCGACCAATAATTTCCTAAGCTAAATTTTTTTTATATCTTATTAACTCATCCTTCGATTTTCAATTATTACAGAGAATCAAACGATCGATTGCCATACGGGCCACCTGGCAAGTATCCACCACCACCAACATCGGACAGTGGCGCTGATACCAAACCGAATGTGGAAGGTTTAATGTCACATTTACCACCGCATACGAGCACCATTCCAATGCTCATTGGACCGAGCGGATTGCCGGCGCATCCATTACCATTAAGTCATCTACCTCCAAATCATCCATCATTAGTTTCGTCACCACAAACAGCAACAGTGCCTCCAAATACTTCATCGTCGATTCAAGGTAAACATCTTCAATTTGTTCATTGAGTTTTGCGAATGAATAAACTAACCATTTGTGATCTTCTTTGTTAAATAGTACAACCATTAAATTTGCTGGGTTCAACAGCCAGTTTAATGCCTCCTCACAGTACGTCTTCTGTTGTACATCCAACGCTACATCGTCCACCAGTAGAAACACCAGGTGGATTACATCATCAGTGAGTATCATTTCACCTTAAATCGCAATTAAAATCGAAATCAATGCAACAATGTTTACATTTTGTATTATTATTTTTTTTGTAGATATCCTGGTAGTGGGGCATTTTCATCAGCAATACCGCAATCATCTGGCAATAGCCAGATTCCATCGCCTGCGCTAAGTTTGTCACGTGGAGAACACGATCGACTTTCTCTTCCATTGCATCTTCCTCCTAATATGAGCACAACACCAATTCAATTGTTACCTCCGCCGCATGCAAGCCATTTAGGACCTCCATTGTTACCAACAATGCCTGGCTCATCATTGGTTAGCGCATCAAGGTACAAAAATAGCATTCAATGCATTTTTCACTTTATCGTCAAATGTCATTTGTATTTATCATTGTTCTTTGTTTTGATTCTTATTTCACAATACAGCATTAGCTCACCTTCAACTGGTATGCCAACGATTGATGGTAGACGATCACCAACAAGCCCATCGCCTGCATTGAGTTTGTCGGCTAGATCATCTGTACCACAATCTCAGGTAATATAAATACATCACAATGAATATTTTTAATTGTTTGTAGCGATTTTGGATTTCGTAACTAAGTGTACGTTTCATCGTAATATTTTAGGCACCACAAAAGATACCATCTTCTATGGATAAACCGAATACTAGTTCAGCATTTAGTCGAACGAGTCCGAATGTACAATTTACGCATCCATCGTCACATCGACCAGCATCGCCGTCACAATCGCAGACTAGCTTGACCAGAGCCAGTCCGTTGCATTTATCGCATCATTCGTCATCATCGGCTTTATCTGGTGCTTCAACGCCAAACACGGGTATTTTCAAACGACAGTCACACATGACACCACCTCCAACTTCTTCGTCGCCACTTTTCACGGATAAAAGGTTCGCTCTCGTTTTCAGCACACAAAACATTAAATGCAAACTAAATAGAGTATATTTGCTTATAAATTTCAATAATTTTTATTATTTGTTTTCAATAGTCCGTTGAATAAAATCTATCCACAAACGCCGACATCACAGTCAACACCGCAACCACCACAACAGGCGACACCTCAACCGCGAAGTGGTCCATCGCCACCAGTGTTGCGTCATCCTCAACCAATGCCATTGCCATTGATTGGTCAGAGTCCAATTCCATCGCCAATGCTGTTGTTCCCCGACTCTCCATATTCACCCAACAGATATCCACCGTATCTGTTTTATTCGCAGAGTCCATTTAATTCACCGTATCCATATCATCCGTACGGACCGGCACCGTTCCAGTACATGAAACCGCCAACAGCCGGACCTGGTCTCGATCCATCGGTTATGCATCATCAAGGTCAAGCAACACGGCACGAAGATCCATCGCCACATCCAGATAAACAAGCTGCTAATCTTCTGCAAATGAAGGATAAAATGAAACCACCAACACCAAAGACCACTCAAAGGTAATTTATTTGTGTTTATAATAAACAATTTGAATATACTAATATATTGAATCAATCATTTCTGATCAGCAGTTCAAATCCGGCGAGCACTTCGTTCAGTGGTCCACATCATCAATATCCGCATCCACCTCATTCAGCATTTGGTGAGAGCCCAATTCCATTGCCACCTGGAAGCAAAAGTCACATGGAAGCACTGCGTGCACATGCACATTCAGCCAGCAGCGGAATTCGGTTAGACATTATTATTATTATTTATACGAAAGTCAATCAATATAAATAATTATTTGTTTCATTTATTTAGACAACCATCATCAAGTGAACCAGTTCACATTGATGTTGAACCAGATCCAGAACCGGAAATTCCAAGTCCAACTCACAATATTCCACGTGGCCCAAGTCCAGAGGCAAAACCAGACGATACCGAATGTCATCGATCTCAATCTGCCATGTAAGTTCGACGCATTCTTTAGACTCATATTCAACAAAAAATTGTCTAAATATCGATTGAATTTTTGTTTTTTGTTTAGCTTTGTGAGACGTTGTGATCGTGGCGATTATAATTCATGTACTCGAACCGATTTGGAATTTAAGCCAGTTGCCGATTCAAAATTGGCACGTAAACGTGAAGAACGTGACCGTAAACTGGCCGAAAAGGAACGCGAAAGAAGGCAACAACAACAAGCTCAACAGGCCGCACAGCAACAGGTTTGTGTAACCGAATAATACTAATTTTCAACTTCACTTGACAAAGTTAAACGAACAAAAAAAAACTAATTTAATTGTGTGAAATGTGTGTAGCAACAACAACAGCAGCAACAAGCGGCTGCCGCACATCAACAACAGCAACAACAACAACAACAACAGCAACAAGCAGCCGCTGCTCAACAAGCAAAAATCAAAGCCGAAATTAAACCATTTGATACACCGGCAATGCGGCAACTATCTGAGTATGCTCGACCACATGTTGCTTTCAGGTAATTAAATAACAAAATCCTTACGTATTTTTAAACAATCTCAATTTCGTCATTTACCAATGCAAAAATTGTGTGGTCTTGTTTCAATTTATAGCCCCGTAGATTCGATGGTGCCACCTTACCATCATCCAATGGGACCAATGTATGCACGTGAAAGGTGTGTATATTTAGAAGATGCATGTTAAAAAATACAAATATTTACTGATGAATAATGGATGTTTTGTTTTTTTCTTAATCTTTTTTCGAACGCTACAGGGAACTAGAAGACTTGAAAAATGCTCAGGCACAAGCACAAGCACAAGCACAAGCACAAGCACAGGCACAAGCGGCTCAAGCGCATGCTATCACGTCTTCCAGACTTGATTCGCAATACATGGAATTGTATCGAATGAGGTATGAAATTTTACAATCAATGTTCAATCGGTCATACATAATGACGATATTCATTTTTGATTTTCATTTAACAGAGGTTTGCATCCATCTCAATATCCGTTGTACACAAATCCGGCGGCTGCAGCTGCTATGTCACAACTTGAACGTGAACGATTAGGCATTCCGCCACATCATATCGGCCTCGACCCAAGCGATCCAATGGTATTATTTTTTTGCGCATAATTTTTGAATTAGTCTAAAAAACAAATCAACATTTATTTGCAATGAAAATGTGATTTATTCAAATTAATTTATCTTTTCAACAGCAACCACCTGATGCTGCTGGATTCCAACTTCCACGTGAGTTTGTATTCATTTTTTACTTTTAAAAAGATATTAGCCCAAAATTCAATTGGAAAGCAAGTATAATTGTGAAAATTCCCAATCATTTTATCGTGTTTATTTTTTACATGGCATTAATTAATTTTAGTCAATCTTTTGCGTTAAACGGTATTTTTTGACATTATTTTCCATTTTTTCTACAAATCAAAATAGCCAATATGTCACCTTATCCGAGACCGAATATGTTATTGCCGCGAGATCATCCCGATGTTTTACTGAGAATGAGCTATGCTGATCAATTGCAGGCACAGGTTTGTTCATCTAAAAGACAATCACGTTGCGTAAAACTAATTTGTTTTTATTCTAATTTCTAGGCTGAACTTCAACGTCAGTCAATTGATCGAGCACATGTATTAAATGAGCAGTATTACAGGTACAATTTCCGATAATATCACATTCGAAAGTAGTGATTCGCTTTGTTCTATATTTTGTTTCCGATTTCTATTTATTTCTGTTTTTAAAATTACTTTTGTGTGATATTTGGTAATTGAAAAAAGAAATACAAACACTATCAAAATGTATGTAGAATATTTTATAAACACTTGAAAATGTAGAAAATTTGATTGATTTTCATTTTAATTCAATTTCTGAGCGAACAACAAACCTACAACAACAATCACAATGTTTCTATGTAAAAAGAAAATGAGTATCGTATGTATGTCTATAGTGCGTAAATTCTAAATTAAACATAAATTATGAAATTAGTTTGAATTTTGCATTTCTGTTTTGTTTCTATTATATTTGAACTTTTGTCATTCTTTCATCGATATCTGTTTACTGCTTAAAGAAAACAAAAATCATCTAAATGGATGAAAATGTCGAGTTTTCAACGAATTGTCTTATAAAATGAGTCTCATGTATACTCATAAATCACCGAAAATCACCAATCTTATTCATCATCATTCACTTGAATCCGTATTTTCGAATTCTTTTTGTTTGTAAATACTAAACCAATTGTAGAGCTTTCGATTTGAAACTAACCAACATTCGTATCAAAGTTCTAATAGACAATAATTTAAATTACTAACAGTCGTAACATTCAATTGATCAATCAACAACAAAAAAAGAAAAGAAATCGCTCGTAAATGTTTCATTGAATTTGTTCTTCCATTTCATTAAGTTTTCAGTATGTGATAAAAGTATACATTTTAAAGTGTTCGTTTTTATTGTAAATGAACAAACAAATGACCCCGCAGTCAACAAAAACTATCAAACGAATCGTTCAATGTTTATTTGGAAAGCATGCGATCTATTTTTATTGGTTGTTTTTTTTCTTTATCACTTTTGCAGATTTCCACCAATATAAAAGCAAATTTAAGATAAAATACCAATAGAACAAAATTGAACAAAAAAAAAGAAAAGAAAAACGCAAACATTTAGAGAAAATGAAAAAAAAAAAACATTTTGATGCAATCACAAGTATCCAAGCGATAAAAAAGATACCGAACATTCAATAGCAAACCGAATCAAGTTCAAAAGGCAAACTTGTGTGTGATGGAACGCTCCCAGTGAAATGCAAAGCCAATGTTTTTACTCAATGGCCATGCGTGTCGAGGCAAGGTGACAGTGCACTTCGTGGGTTTGCATATTCTATGTATCAATCAACAACAATCACCGTGAAATGTGACCGTATCCAAATCAATCTGTTCCAATCAATCAATGCATTCATGTTTAAGGTGGAGCAGGCATGTTTACCCTTTTCTCGTCTACTGCCATGCAACGATTTGATAGTCAACATTCACAAATGAGCTCGAATTCGTGTGTGTGCTTTTTTTTAAATACTTGAACCATCGTAGATGTTAGACATATCACAAGCAAAATCCATACTTTCAAGCAGTTTGGAAATGAAACGAGAGTGCCTTTCAACATCAGGATCCATGCATCTTTTGCAAGAAGTTCTATGATCGTCCATCAAATGGAAACAATTTCAAAAAAAAACCAAAAACGATCAAAGTGCATTTCAAATCAAACAAAATAAGAACCACATACTTACATTTTCCAATCAAAAAGTTCGAAAAAAAAGATTTAAAAAAATTGTCGGTTGAGCGCATCAATTGCATCGAAATCGATTGCCATGACATGAAATTATTGCAATATTCTTTTTCCTTTTTTTTAACTTCTTTTAAATGTTCAAGCGGAAGCATAGCGTATATGTCATATACAAAATGCAAACTCAATTTTTGTCTTACTTATCATTTATATTTGCTATCCAAACCATTTTCTGTTTGTGTGTAAATTATTATATATCTCTTTGTGTGCAACAGTTTTTTTCTAAATATATATATATATATTTTTTTTTTTTTTGTACTCTATATAATACATACACTCTTTAATCTAGACATTGAATTGTTTGCATATTAAAATTCGAAAAACATTTTCTTGAAAAGAACACAGCTAGAATCGAACTTAGAACTTAACAATGTAAAAAAAAAACAACTAAATTAAATAAAAGAACAAAACTAGATCAGCAATCATAAACTTTTAAAATGTACAACTAAAATCAAACCAAACAATCACCATCAAACAACCTAATCAATTTGATTGGATGAGCATTTATCTAGTAAGATCGTATCGAAAATGTTTTTGCAATTTTTTACGTCATTCCATCTATATGTTTTTTGCAGACATCACGAAATGAAAGTTAGAGCTATGGAGGAGGCATCACGTGGAAAGCATTAAATTTAGACACACTGAAGTGACAAAAAAGAATATTATTTGAATTCAAAAAAATACACAGAGAGAGAGAGAGACAGACAGACAGACACGAAAATTGAGTTCAAAAATGATAAAGATGAGAAATGAATAAAGTGAGCGCGTGCAAAATGAAATATGTTTGAAAATCAATAATTTTGGTATATTGTTAATGTAGAACTTTGTGCATGTGCGACGCCAACGGCAAAACACATACACGTGGTTTTTATTTTAAAACAACAAAATGTTGAACATTTTTCTAATTTGCAAAATTATTTGAAGCTATAATGATTTCATAAGTTCGGTGTGAGAGAGTAAAAATTAGACAGCTGCAATACTGAAATGTGAAAGATAGATGAAAATGAAAACCTTAACAATGAGAATGGGACCTTTTTTTTAAATTCCTAATTAAAATTAATTGATTAAAGGTATCAATGATTTTGATAAAAAAAGATAATTTTTTTTTTCTTTAATAAAAAAAAAAACAAACGAAAAATTTGAGGGAAATCGCAACTATGCTTCGAATGCCCAACGAATTGGTTTCACTTCAAGCATGAATTCATTTATTTTAATTTATAAATTTGGTAAACAAAAATTAATCGCAAAATGTAAAAGAATTCATTTCATTTAACGAATCTACTGGAGATGGTTATTTGTCCGAACGAAATTTTCAAATTAAATATCTGAATTGAGAGGATCAAAGCATATACAAAACAAACTAACTAAATAAATTAGAAATTTTGAGATAAAAGTGGCGCTCTCTTTTTCAATTTGAGAATGTCAAACTATACAAATTAAATCAACTATGTATTATAGTGATAATCATTGCATAGGCTAGTTGATATGAATTAATGTAATTTGTAGTAAATACATTTTGCGAGTTAAAAAGAAGAATAAACAAGTTAATCAATGTTGAATCAAGAACAACAACAAAAATACGACAAAAATTGTGGAGATTTCTTTTTTATGAATGAATTAAATTGGAAGGTGTTAAGAGACTTCAACAGCTTTAAACTAAATGAACTGAATATGGTATTGATTTGAGGCCAAAGCAAAAAGTTTGTTGAATGTTATATAGTGAAGAGTGCAAACAGCATTTAGGGAATTGCAAAAATAAATAACAACAAAGAATAAGTTCACGCGCATCCAAATGCATTCGAATAAAAAGAAAAATAGTGATACAAACGAGAGATGCAATTAGAACAACAGTTTCATGATAAGCAATTAGTGAAAATTCATTCAGTGGCAGCACATTCATTAAAACATGAACATTTTTTTGTTTCTTCTTCTTCATTTCACAACGCACAATGTTGTATCGGATTTACCTATGTTTCATTCACATGAATTTACATCCCACGATACACTTTGCACAAGAAATATTTCGCAGCGAAGGAATTGAGCATGATGATTCTTTTTACAAGATATATATATATATATATAGCAAGTATGCTGCCACTGAAAATCGATTGGGCATTTTGCTCAAAGCAATTATTAGAAACTGTAGCTAATACTACTGCCGTGAATGTATTTAGAAATGAGAAAAAAAAATTAAAAAAAACCAAGAAAATTAAATCAGTATTAAAATGACATTTGGATAAGGGTTACTGTAGCTTAAATAACACGTTTGAATTGTAGTTGATCACAATAAAACGTATTGATTTGCAAACAGGATAACGATTAAGGAATGAGTGTCTCTCACATATTTCCGATTGAAAGACATTTAAAACGAAAACATGTATTTAAACAAAATAAAACAAAACAAAAAAAAACAATGAACAAAAATGAAAATGCAAAAAAAATTATAACAAAATAGCTTTAATGTGTAAGAAGATGAATTAAGCAGACAACAAACCATACACACGGACAAAACACACATACATATACAAATTTAAATGAGATGGAAACTAAACAATTTACTTAAGAAATCATTCTAAATCGTAATTACTGAATATATTGCATATATGCGTACTCAGATGATAAATAAGATGGTAAATAGTTAAGACCAATGTACAATAAATAATAGCAAGTTTTGTCGATCGAACACAATAATGTGCGTCAATAGTAATGATGATCAAATGATCGATGAAATGGAAATAAAAGAAAGGGCAATTATAAACCAATACAAAATAAATCACAATACGATTTGTATACAAAATGAGTTCATAAAAAAAAGACCGTCATAGAAAACGAAGAAAAACAAACCGTTGAATTACCCATCGATGAGCACACATACCTGTGTGACTGATCTTAACAAAAAAAAGATGCAAAATAATAAGAAATCTTAAGGAACAAATTAACATAAAATTATTTACGTTTATATATTCGAAGCATATAAATATATTTAATAATATTGAATGAAAGCAAACAGTTAGAGAAAAAAAAAGAACCCTACAAAACCCATACATACATACAAAAAGCATCCCCGACACAACAACCAACAATAAAAACAATTAGTAGAAAAGTCTAACGTTACTTTGAACAGAGTTGAAAAAAGACAAAATTTTATTAATAATGAAATAGAATAATTGTTTTATGTGAATGGCACAACAATAACAAACAAAAATGAATGTGACGGGAGAAAAAGAAAGACAGAAAAGTAATAACATAAAAAAGCAGATGAAGACGAAGAAATAGATCGTATTACGTTACTTCGTAATACCATCAATTCGAATCGCTTCTACCAGAGTAGCATTCATTGTAGGCAAAAGTTAATATGTGCTGAACTCATGAACATAACAAAAATGAAGAAATTAGAATGAGGTAAAAATGAAACACCACACGATTAAACTTATAACTAATAACTTCTGATCATTAATATTTATTTTATCATATAAAAATTATATTATTAAAATATATACCGGAAACAACAAAATCATAACAAAAAAACATTTTGGCTATTTTTATTCTTTCGAATGCATTGTTCCTCTTAATCACCCCTCAACGCCCTCTCCCAACCTTCATTTCTAACTTACAAACCATTTCATTGCGGTCAGTTCCATATTTCTATTCGGACCACAGTCTCTGGTGAAGTCACCTGTCTTGATGGTAAGTGTACCTTTAAATGCAATTTTACAGGAAATGCCTGAGACAAACAGCTTTGAGTGAGTAACTCGACGACAGATTTTTTTTTTTAGAAAAGAGATCCCAAATAATTGGATTTTATTTCGACATTTAACTTCTTTTTTTACATTCATACAAATGATTTTTGCGTTTGTTTTTATTTTATTAATTTTGTGTTGTATGTAAATAAATTAGTGCTTTTTCTTGCTTAATTTTGCTAAGTGTTCGTACTTTGATTTCGATTGGTGCCACAAGAAGAATGGGATAGCTAATGATGGCAATGTCATAATGGCGAATGCGACCCAGTCAAACAAATGGGATGAGAAACGCTTATTGAAATCGGCCAATCCAACAATACCACCTTCTCCTGGTTCTGAGCTGACAGCATATTGAATGGCATCGGAATCTTCGACAGCTTTGTATTGTACTTCGGCCGATGTGAAATTGAAGTAACCATAAGCCAATGGTCGGACAACAACAACATGTGATACATTTGTATGTGGTGCAATTCGGTCAATAACTGCACTCAATTGTCCACCAACAACACTGAAAGCATCTGGATGGAATCCATTGTCGACTATATGTGTCAGAAAAAAAGGAAATGAAAAGAAATAATCAATTAATTCATTCGTTTAGTCGATGTTCAAAATAGAGACTTCAAAGCGACGAGTGTTCGTGGCAACAACTATCTTGTCATGTTTACAGTTAGATTGGTGAAAGTTACAAAGTAGTTACGTACCGAGTTTGACATGAACGGCTGGTCCATTTCCAACATTGTACAATGTATATTTGACGACAACATCACTTTGTTCGACGAGGTATTTGTTTAAAATTTGTTTCGACACCAACAAACGGGCACTGGTTTCATCTTCGGCAGCAACGCAAACGGAGAGAAATCCAAGCACGGCAATCGTACACAAACCCAAAAATTTATTCATTCTACAAAAAATAATACGAATAAGTTAGTATGCGTTCATTGTTTTTCGTTTCACCAATTTTCATTCATCATTTGTGACTTTGCCTAATGGCTTTTTAATGGTTAGTTTAGCGTAAAAAATTTGGTCAAATGAATTTTCAATTATCCAAATTCTACATATAATTTATGATAAAAATGAACTGAAATTACAACCATTTGTTTTTCTTTTCGGTGAATGTAGGTTTTGACTCACTTTTTATTGTAGTATTTATTGCTGATTCGCTTTAAATTTAACAAAAATATTATATGAATGTACACTGTATTGCTGAAAGCCGCTCTCGTTCTGTTGACACGTATCGGTCTAATGCGAGTAAATCGAGGTTGAAACGAATGAATTTTACTGTCTATGTCGCGAAAGTCATCAAGCAAATCAGACAAATGTCGTGACGTGTCGAATGCGTTGCCATCATGTGTCATTTCGTATTGATATTTTAGCAGCAACTTCATACCTCACCTTCAACGCCATCTGTTGATAAACTCTGATGATGATGATATCATGTTTTAAATTTAACCATGAATATGTATAGAAAATTAACTTTTTCACTGTTATTGAACGTTATCGTTGATTTTTCTCTTCATTTCTCAGTTCAAAAGACCACTAAATCTTGAAGAAAAACGAACATTCTGTTTGAACATTTTAAATACTTCTCTAAGGAGCACGAATATGTGATTCGTCATCACCTTTATTGACAAAATCAAGAGAATGAGCTTTATGGGAAAACGATTCTGAAATTGGATTTCATTGTGCGCTTCTTTGAACTGGTGATCGTTGTACACTCCCAAGCAGTGGATCAACAAATGCACCAAATGTACCAACAATCACAACAGCAGAAAACTATAGCTTCATTTTTACGAAAAAGTAGTGGCGATCAACAAACTTCTTTGAACGATACTGATGATTTGATGATTAGAAGAAAAATAACACAGACTTTTATACTCAATTTACATGTTATTTGAATAAATATGAAGAAAAATTAATTACAAAAAAATTCCCGTAATCGCTTAAAGAATACAAAATAAATTTTAAGAAAAATGCATCTTTTTAAATCTCGCCTTCATTGTAGCGTTACATACTACGTAAAAAAGCGATAAAACTAATCATACTTTTTTCTAATGTTCACCGAATCGGATTGAGTTCGATTCGTGATTTTTTTAAGATTTTTTGAGGAATCCCGGATCCAATCTTCAATCCATAGACATGATTTTTAATCTGGAATTGTCAACGCCAAGTGACACTTTATATCTTAAAACTTCGGATAAAACGCATCAAATGTTCAATTGTCAGTTCAGTTTTTAAAAATATATTTTCATTAAATTGTATCTCCGTTCAAGTGATTAGATAAAAATGTTTTGATTTATTCTATTATGTAGTTTACATTTATTTGATTTAAGAATGAAAAACCCTAAATCTAATGCTAAAACATTATCTCAATGTTTAAAATGTTAAATACATTACATCCGATTAATTGATGAAAAAATATTCGATTTAATTAATTAATCTTCGTCTTCTTCATCGAATAAATGTTGTAAATGTGGTTTATTTTTCCCGTCTGACTGCTGTGTATTCGCAGTAGACGTTGCATTTAATTTTTTGTTCACCTTCTTCTGTATTTTCTGACCAATCACATATTCGGGCATAATGACTTTTGATCCCTTTAAAACGGCTTTTGCATCAGATTCATTGCGATCGTCTGATTCTTCAATTTCTTTTCGCAGAGCGGTTGATTGATTAAACGATGGCTTTCGATTGTCCACCGAACTGGTCCGTTTCTTAAAAACAATTTTTCCACTTGAACTATCATCATCACAGTCCATTTCATTTTCACGTGCCCGTTTCTCTTCTTCCATATCTTTTCGACGTTCAATTTCTGCCAAAAATGCAAATGCGGCCGATGTATTTGTTTTATCTGAGATATCAGCATCATCAAGTGAATATTTCTTCCATTTGTGTGGGTTCATCTGTAATTGTGTGTCAAATTGGCGTGAATTCACTTTTCGGATTGAGAATATGACGTGCAACCAAAATGGTTAAAAAAAATAAAATGATACCTGATAGTCGGGCAATCGTCGTGGTCTCAAACATTTACTGATCGGTGCTGCGGGTCGTTTGAATATACTTTCTTTGCCCTGAAATCGTCTTCCTTTAATCAATGCCTTTGAATCATCTTGTTGCTTCGGTTCGTCCCGTGTGAATTGTCTTTGATCCAGACTTGTACCTTGAATACACTTTTCTGCTGAATTCAAACACTCGAACAGCATTTTTTTCTTATCTTCGTAATTCAAAGACATTCTTGTGTATTTGTCGTTTGTAGTTTTATGCGTTACAATCAATTTATTTGATTAACTTATAATTTCAAGTTTTTATAAACTTTTGTTTAAGCTATTGAAAAGCATTTATAGTTTTTGTTTTGCTATGCAGAAATCTGTCAGATGTTTGACAGTTCATACTGAAAATCCCTATCGGAAGAACAAATTCCGCAAGATAATACCATATTTAAAAATGCATTGGAAATATTGATGCAACTATAGTGCATTTGATTTTTATGCAAAAAAAACAGAAATTAACATATTTCATGTTAAAAAAAGAATGAAACTTCATTTCTATTTCCTACCAATTCTTTGAGCAATTTGTAACTTGAGAAATAAACTGTTTTAGAAAAAACTAAAAAAGCCGGTTAAGTTTGTTTCGTATGTAGTGTTGTCTGTAATGTTGAAATTGAATGCAATTCAAAATGAAATTTCGTTTCCAAAAAAATCGACATAACAAAAAATTGAAATGACAAAAAAGATAGAGCGATGAAGAGGTTTACAATGAAGAAACCATCGTTCATATTATGAAATTTTCGAAACGAGTTTTTTGTGATTCAATACATATGAGTGTCGTCCAACAGCTTCGATTAAATGTGTACAATTGACGCGAGTTGTATGGTTCCAATATTGCTTTTATATTTTGAGAAATGCTCCAACTGAAGAAAGTATGGATTATTATGACAATTTTTATAATTTCTATCCAGAATATACAGATTTTCGAAGGTTGTAAAAAAAGAAAAAGAGACATATTTACCTTCATATTGGAGGCTCCATTTATTTTCAAGATTTGTAAGATGAACACCGCAATGGTCCAAAAAAAATTTCTTAACTATACATTATACAACTGTTGTCTCCAACAAAACTTAGAACAGTACTCAAAAAAATAAAAGTCCAACTTTGTTTTTCCATTTTTAAAAAAGCCGTATTTTATTCGTATTTGAAATCAGAAAGCATTACATTATTTTGAATAGTATACTCGGCCACATAAATAATAGTGTCTTCAATCTTCAATCTTATTTGGAAATTGTGTGGCAGTTATTTTATTTGAAATGCTTTAAGTTCTATATGCAATATGATTGCGATCTCGATGTGTATACTACGATGCGTTTTCTACGGGGATAGCAAAGATATTTTATAATTGTTGAAATCAATATGAATGCGATCATAATGAAAATGAATATAAATGTGGCTGGTTCGATTTCGAGTTTTCTACTACCAGCGAAAACGAATTTGCACAGGGATATTGAAAATGGATTATCGAATTTTTGTCTACAACGGGCATCTTCAATGGTGGCGGCTACGGTATCGATTACTTCCCCACTGAAATGAATTCAAATTTTTTTGATTTATTATCTTCCCACCTTCTAACTATTATTTAGTATTTATTATTAATTAATTTTGATGTGAATTTCTTGTGAACATTTTTTACAATTTAAATAATTGTTTTCAACTTACACTATGTTTCCATTGATTCCTGTTGAAGAAGCAAAGATTCTAATTAATACATCAATATATTATTATATTTTTTGTTAAAAGAATGTATTTTTTTACGAGAAGAAAATATTTTTCGACGGTTCACAATCACATCTTGATCAATTGTTGTTTGTCACCGATTTTGAAATTCACTCAAATTATTTCTTACTTTTTTTTCATTTCACAAATCAAGACTTACCTTCTGAAAACAAAACAACACAAAGTGCAGCAAACATGAATATGGTCTTCATTTTCGGCGATGATTTCGGCAGTGCGAGGTGTATTTAAATGCGGGAATATAATATTCGTATAAAAAATGAGACGAATATTTGACGACTATCTGAGCAAGGTTTGTTGAAAACTACTGTCTAAAGTTTTTGATTCACTTCGTTTGTCCGGTGTCACGTTAAAAATGCACAACACAAACACATGTTCATCATATATTGATAGAAACAAAATAAAATTGAAGTAGTCGCACCAAACCCCACATCCAAAAGGCAATTGAAACACAAAAAATAGCCAGAAGCATACTTTACTTATAAAATGTGCGACGAATTTCTTTCGTTCGGTTTGTTTATTTATATTATATATTTGAATGATTGAATCGTATAAACCGCTAATACGGCATTATTGTTATCGCAGCGCAGTATTTTAAAATTATTGATTATTTTAAATCAAAAACGTGCATTGTTTCTTTTAGTTTTGTGTAAACAATTAGCCAATAAATGCTCTAACTAAAATGCGCATTGCCTGTCGGATATACCGTTTTAAGCAACGTTTCAAAATAATTACTTATTCAGCCTGATAAAGCATACAAATATCAAAAATTATCGCGACAAATCGCAAACGCAATGATGCATGATTCATCATCTGGATATTATTTTATTGAAATGACTTGTTTTAAACCTCTATTTTACTATCTGTGTTCACTGGAATATGACCATGTTTATAATAATAAGGCATTTAAAATCGCCAAGTCTCCACTTTTGCAAGTACATTAAGAATATTTATGTATTCTCTTTGTGAACAATGAGCTATTATTGTTTATTTATTGCATGCATGTACACATAGATTGGAACTTGATAACGTCAAGAGTTCAATTAAAACGTTAAAGAAATGCCATATTCTTTTATCATGACCATAAAGTTCAAGGCAAAAGTCAAATCGTGCCAATATGAAAATTAAATGGAAAACACTTTTCAAAATACGCCGATTATTTCAAGTGCCCTTTCATTTCATATTTAAGAATAATTCCATTCAATTTTCCAAGCTTAATTCTTTTTAAATAATAATAGAAAAACTAGATTATAATAACATGAATAAAATAAAAGCTAAAAAAACCAAAAGGAAATTAAATTAGAACCAATGAAAAAATGCCCATATTTTGATTTCAATTTAACAATTAAATTTATTTTTAACCGAACCAAAGGTATACACCAAAAAGGCTCCCCATTCTTTCCGTACGGAATATTGAAGTTTATGACAAAGGTTGTTTTTTTTCATACAGATTCTCAAGAGTATGGAATATTTTTCTACTTTTTTGATTAAGAGCTGAACAAAAAAAAACTGTCTTCCACAAATATATGCACCGAATTATGTAAGTTGATCAAAAAAGGCTGTTTGTTTTTGTTTTTTACTTGATTTTAAAATCGTGAGCAATGAGCATGCACATCAAGGAAGCGGGTAATGTGTGCTGTGCAACCACTTTCAGCGACCACACATTGTCAACACAGAGAGCAAGCCAGACACTTCAGATATAATCAACACTCATTTGACATATTAACCTAGATATTCGTGTACATTTTGCCAGCGCTTTCATCGCATGCAATCGCAAAAAAGTGGTGAAAATTATGAAAAAAAAACAAAGAGCATCCAAATGGGCGATAGGTGTGCGAGAGGCATGCATTTGCGGTTGTATTATAAGTAATGCTCAGTGGAATGAAACTGCATAGCAAAAGTGCACAGGATGCACATTACAATTTCTGACTGTCTTGTTCGTTTTCGCTGGTTGAGGAGCCGAGAGCGGCACAGTCAACAGAATGGTGGAGAAGAAGAAGAAGAAAAAAACGGAAAGTTGGAAATTCGTCAAAACTTCTTTAGCAGAACGAGTGAATTCGAATAGTTTTGGATTGTGTGAATAAATGTTCTTCGTATTTATTTATTTAGTTATTCGAATTTGTTCGTTTTTCTTTGAGTTCGTTTCCTAAGTTTGTATTTTGGTTCGTTTGCGTCTTGGTCTCATTTTTTCTCTCGTTCTTTCTGCCTTTCTTTCATTCGTGTTTTTTTTCTCTCTGCTGCCTTTGCATCGAAAATGTAAAATATTCTTTTCCCAAGCATCGAGTGAAACTGCTGTCGCAAAAGACAACAACCTCTAAGTTTAGTGGAAATAAAGATAAAAATGAAGCTACAAAATGTGTGTAAATTCACTTAGAAACGGTAGATATGGCGAACACTACACACAAAACTCGTTCGCTTCACGTACAGCTCTCACTGCAAAAAGTTTTATTACATCAAAACTTTCCATGGTACATTCACTATCTTTCTTTGTCTCTCTTACTCTTGCACACACTCTGGATACCGAAAAAAGGAAGAGGAAATCTATTTATTATATTACATTATAAATTTTCCCCTGAAAAACATACACAATGTTAAGTTTGGCATAGCAAAATAAAATAAAATGCCAAATATTTAACTCACGCCGAAAGGTAAGATTGAATTAAAAGAATCCGCTGAAAATTAAAATAGACAAGTTGCGATGAATGTTGACGTCAACAATTTCACAGCATTACACTTGACACTTCCGGGTTGCGTGTTTCGCCAATAATTTTCCGTTGGGATTCCTTATGTTCGTTGGGGTAGAAAGTAAGCTTATTGCTTCACAATCAGTCTATCTCCCCCTCTATTTTTTCTGTTCTCCTTGCAACAATTGACCGAACCAAATTAGAGCGATATTTGATCCACCTTATTGGTTATAGTTTTGTGTACATCATTTTTGATCTCACATACTAAAAAATGCTTCAATTCCATATTCAATCAACCATTAACCAAACGAAGGATAGATAATTCGTCTCAACCATATTTCATAGCAAAAATGAAATTGACAACGGTACTAAGACTAATGAAGTGCACAACACGCGAACCAATCAGAATTTAAACCAAGTGAAATTGAAAAGACAGCACCAATGATATCTTTTTGCATTCAAGAGGAAGACGAAGTGAGAAAAAAAAACGTGTCGTGCAACTTGATTCGATTATAAAATTCTTAAAATTATTTCGCGTGAATTTAATGTCGATTCGTTCGCATTGATAATAACATGAAGCGAGTGCAATGAGCTGAAACAGTGAAGAAATGGCACGCGCACGGAATGAAGAGCGCGATAGTTGTTGAATTGTGGGTATTACAACACGCTCAGATATCAATGGGAAATTTGAAGCGAACGAAATATGAATGAGGTGAGAAACAAACTGAAGTAAATTAACAGAAATGCCTCGATCTCCACCCTCTACCATTGGATGGCTCTTATTTTGTTGATGGTGCGAATTCTGGGTGGCAATAGGAATGGCCGAATAACGTGGAATGCAAGTGAAGCAATAATGTGCATCACTTGATAATAAGATCATTAAAAGTACTAACGAAATGTGCTGTGTGACACATTTCGAGTACGCGTTGACTTGCATTGCAATTTTCTGCTAACAACCGATCGATGTATCCATTGCATAGGCGCATTCTTCTGATAAATCTAATTAAAATGTTAATCGTGCAATATTTATACCGTATACTTTTTTTCTCTCCATCTCACCTCAATTGTGTTCACATTCTTCTTTCTATATCTCCCTTATTTATCATCGCATTTGGAATATTTTCACGCAAATCAGACCCATAAATCGTTGCACATTGTTCGAATAAGAATGTTATGTATACAACGCGAAAAATACGAACAAATAGTAGAAAATCAAATTGTAATCGGTGTAATCCTATTACGTTTGCCATTTTTTACCTTTAATTATAAAATATAGATCGTATAGCGCATTTTGTGCTCGATGTTTGCATATCGAAGAAGCACATTTCATATGTGGAAGCTGTATTCAACCGATGCCAATGAATGAACACACATATTGGAATTGTGTGTTTGTTGCAGAGGAAAAGAAATTAAAAAAAAAAAACAATTTAGACAGAGAGTGCGAGAGAGAAAAATAGCATAGAGAAATGAGTTTTTACGAGTATACGTGAGAATCACGTGGTTTCCATGCACTTTCAATATTTAGTTGCATGCTGGCCACTGGTCCACATACTTGAAACGGGCTGCACCAGAGAAAAGCCAAAGCAATTAAAGTTTATTCAATGTGGTGTGTGTAACATCGTCGCATATACTAAAATTTATTTTCATAGGTTCACCCTGAACACATTTTTTTTCTATATTTTATATATGTATGCAACGATGCACAAAACACAACACACGTTGCTTAGCTCATGTGCCCGAAGACTGTTTTTTTTCTCGTGTGTGTGTCTTGTTTTTGAATCCCTGTCCACATTTTTGTTTCACTTTGACTATTTTGTCTATCGTAGAAAAGTGATCGCACCACATTCATTTAAACGAATAGAATCGGAAAATATGTGTATTCACAGTGTATGCTGCTCTGAATACAGTGTGAATTGAAAAAAAAAAGAAAAAAAAAAAACACAACAGACACAACATATACATATATATAGTAGAAACTGAAAATGCTCAACGGAAAAAAATGTAAATCTTTTGTGAAATGACCCAAACTGGGAAAACTTTTTACACACAACAATTTCAACAGTCGAACTGAAACATAGGAACAGATCATGAAGTAGAGAAAAATAGAGCGAGATAAGCGACATGGAGAAAAATGGACAGTATAAAAGTGAACGAGACACGTTTTCCAATTTTGTAATAGAATAGACACATTTAGCGCAACAATTTCGTTTTGAAATGGCTTTGCCAATCCGTCTAAAGTTTCATGGGAGAGAGAGAAAGAGACAGAGAGAGACTCGCCACTTTCGACCGAATGGAGAGTTTTTTTTATATCGTTGCAATCTTGCATGCATGTTGTCCTCATTATCTCACACAAACAACATTTACCCACCTCGACATTTGAATGCTTATTTTGAGCAGACAAACGGCTTCCACCATAAAAAGAAAAACGCTAAAAAAACGTGAATAACGAAACAACAAAAAGAATATGAAATAAAAAAAATACAACACAAAACTATACACCAACAACAACAGCAGCAACATAATAGAAAAAAAGAGGAAAATTGAAAATGGTTCATCGTCTGGAAATTTTTATGCAGAGTCTATGGAACGCGTATATATTAAGGCGGCCGTGTCATGGCCTACGTACATTTGGTGCACCACATGAACACAAATATCATCATATTCATGTTTCCACTTTACTTTCAACTAACATAAGTGACTTTGGTGCACACAAAGTGTATAAAAAAGATGGACAAATGTTTCGATAAAATGAATGACTCACATTCACGTTGAAATACGTACCAAATCGCGTAAACACTTTACGAATGTGCAGATGAAAAATTGCTCTTTTCCTTTCTTTT